GAGGGCGCCACTGTATTTGACAATGTTTAGAACTTTAGACATAACGAATGGCGAGTACTAATTTGTAACACTCAACAAAACATTTTATTATACCTAAGAGCTTTTTTTTTTGTTGTTTTACATTAATATTGATTTTATTTTTTGTTATTTTTTTATGATATTGTTAAGAAATCCTACCGATTTTTGAAAGTTATGTTGTATTAATCATGTACGTATGGTTTTATATTTTGTTTTCTTTTTTTGCAATGCTAATTAATATCTAATACATCAGATATATGCTATAATATCTAACCGAAAATCGGTAGAACAATATAAAGATAAATTTTATAAGAAAAGTTACAAGCGTATCACTATATTAATGATTAGTCTACCTGCCTTATTAAATACTACATTTAGGTAGAATATTAGAATTTTATATAAAAAATGTAAAGTATAAAATACATTAATTTACTATAAAAGGTATACAATTATAACGTATCATACAGTTGGCATATAGGATATAAAAACGGAACATTAAAGTAAGATACAACTGATATGACTCACTAATGTACAGTCAACAGCACGTCAGATTATACAAATTGTCAAATTTTTCCACCATTTAAAATAATAAACCTTAATGTTTTGTGGACAGACTTTAAAATAAACTGGAGGAATTAGAGATTGTGGTAACCTGGCGTGCAGTTGTGTACCTGAGCAGAACGCGAAGTTCCGAAGCGCGTCAAGTCAGCCAATTAGGATGATACCAGTATCACGCCATCGGGCGATCCACCAATATCTACGCGTCTGACCCCCGCTTATTGTAAGTGAGAGACGGACACCTGATGAGTTATATTTTACACGTTATGTTTATAGTATCAAGACTCACTATAAACTTAAATCTAATTTACGGATATCGTTGGAAATTAATAAATCTACTCTGCGGAAAGATCCACAGTGTGCCATAGCAATTAGAACTTATTGTACCGTGTTGTTTTTTTTTTTGCTCAACAAAGCTCTGCTTAGGCACGTCGTATCAGAAGTCTTCAGAATAATTCTACCTTCCACATTTAGGCGCCATCCGTATGTTTCGTAAGATTTTCTCTATTTCCATAAAAAAAACTGCGCATTTTATAATCTATAGTAATAACCAGTGGTCGGAATTAGGTAGAGTTATTCATGTACTTACACTGATTTCATACAGCGAAAGAATAAAGTGGATATGCCTCAAATCCCGAGATTAATTTTAAAGAGCAGAAAAAATCCCGTGTTTTTTTAAATAAAAAGTTATTTACTTTTACACAATTTAAACTACTGCACGCACGACGTTGCCAAACTAACATCAATGACATCGGATGTCCAAAGTTGCAAAATACCAATACGCGCGATGTTGCCACGAAGGTCCACATTAATATCAACATTTCGATGCAAGTACATAAATAACTCTACCTAATTCCGACCCCTGGTAATAACTATAGACTCTTTCATTCCTCCATGTAAGGAAAAAACTACTCTTACCCAACTACAGAATGGAAACGTATTAAAACTAAAAATACCTTACCAGAAGGTCCGTGGGTACAGTCAGTCATGTGTAAAATTGGATGAAATCAAGGAATAGATAAAATTGAAATGTAAAAGTGGGCAGCACACACATCCTCATAGGCCTAAACAGGTTACAATAATATACTCACTTCACACACGTTGTCATGGACTTAAACAGGTAACATTAATATACTCCAAATAGTACTATTGAAAAATAAAATATGATTTTTTTACTAGATGGCATTCAATATGTTAAAAAATGTAGTCCAACAGTGTGAATGCATATTCAGTTTTTTCTATTCAATCCGTACTCTGAAGCTTTGGTATAATATGGTAAGCAGTTCGAAATGGACAGTGCCTTAAACAAACGACCAAGTTATAATATTGTACCTTTAACCATTCCAGACAAAATAGCGTTGGTAATAGGAATTTAATGAAGGATATCCGTATCGCTAAAATTAAAACGACGTTGCATGTTCTGATTAGCATATCTGCGTTTTAGACCTCAATTGAAGCTTTTATAATATTGCCGCTGTGCCTTACTGTAATGAATATAAGGTCTATTTTGGATAAATCTGTCGCGTTTCATTTGCCGTACGTATTACAGCGCGTTATATGATAAATAGATCAACTGTGTACAAATTGACAGCAGGTCAGGTTTTTACCAAAGTTAAAATTTCTCAGCCGATATTAAGCCTTAATCTGTAGACATTTAAGTTTAAAATTGATTGCAAGAATTTGGCGTATAGCAATTTTATGTGCTGCTGTGTATACATATAAATTACTTCATTCGTTCAATTTTTGTCGGAATATTTTTGTTAGTTTTTGTATGATAGTATAAGATTTTTCTTTATTTTGTTATCTTAGAATAAATACTAATTAAAAAGGTATTTGTAAAGCACATCATCACGATTGCTACTCATAAACTATAATAATAAAACACAGCAGGAACACAATAAAAGAGTGAAAGTAACGCATATAGTTTTATTTTATTTACAATCCTCTACAGACATGACTTCGTTTGATAATAATAAATCTCGTTAATCTAACATTGATTTTACATAAGAGTACATACACTTTGCACTAACAGTGCTATGAATAAACAAGGTTTAGCGTCAACAGTAAATTTACGCAAAAATAGCAATTTTAATATTATTCCAAATTTATATTAAACGGAGAATAAGCAAACGTACTATCTTCTAGAAGTAAATATTACTCCCGTAGAACCTCGTAATAGGTTAACCTTTACTAAATCTCTGTTTAATAATATGGATTTTGACTAATACTTAGTGCAGTCTCGGTGTAAATTTATTCTTAGCTAAACTTTGTTCACTAATAACCAGTGGTCGGAATTAGGTAGAGTTATTCATGTACTTACACTGATTTCATATAGCGAAAGAATAAAGTGGATATGCCTCAAATCCCGAGATTAATTTTAAAGAGCAGAAAAAATCCCGTGATTTTAAATAAAAAGTTATTTACTTTTACACAATTTAAACTACTGCACGCACGATGTTGCCAAACTTACATCAATGACACCGGATGTCCAAAGTTGCAAGATACCAATACGCGCGATGTTGCCACGAAGGTCCACATTAATATCAACATTTCGATGCAAGTACATAAATAACTCTACCTAATTCCGACCTCTGCTAATAACACTGTAAAGGTTTTACAGAACGTTATTTTCCCATAAATACTCAAGAAACTTCAATTGAAGTTGGTGGTTTTGCAAATATAAACATTAATAGTTTATTTATTTAAAATTACTGAACTGATTTGATGAAACTTTTACTCTTAATGAAATATGATTAAAAAATCCACTTTGCCCCTGGCACTCTGAGATGGGTCTCGAACCCATGACCTTTCGCAATCGGGGCGACTGCTCTAGCCACTGAGCTAACCAGAACCACGTTTACACAAGACGTTTTTAGACGACATTATACATATATAATTTATGCATTACAACAATACTACACTAAATACATGTCTCAAATTGATAACCTTCTTTTATGAATTAATTTAAAAAATAAATATAGCAACTATAACATCTATTTACATACTAAATTTTTATTTTTGATGTGGGTATCGCAATTTTGATATCTATTTTAAATATAAATGAACTATTATTATATGTGATCGATTGTGCCTTCATAATACTATACTGGAAAATATTCTTAACGGAAAATGCTATAATAATATATATAAATGGACCACATTAACATAATATTAAATACCATTCTGCAATAGAAAATACACTCAAGACAATAATTATTATTCCACTTTATCAATAGTAAGTATTAGATTAGAGACAGATATAGCTAATATATAGTTTAACATAGAACATCTAGTAAACATATTACCATGGGCGTAGGAATTTTTAATAACAAATTTATACTTAATGTACCATCCAGCTAGCGGCGCGGCCGATTTCTGAAAAATTGGAAAGGCCCGCCCTCAAAAAAAAAAAAAATATTTAGATACGCCCATGTATACCTATAATCGGATTATTCGACTATCAATCTGATTCAGATTGATTATGTTGACTGAATAGACCACTATTATCAAGATAATTTCATTTATTTTATCGAGATAATTTCATATTAGTTTCATAAGCGCAATCTTAATGTGAATTTCAATCCATTCCAATAACGATCTCATTTTTCATGAAGTCTTAGCTCGTACGTGACTCGATTACCTTACCCAATGTCAATTAGTTCATTCAATTACCACGCAATATTGAGACCATTGGCGCTAGTGTACCAAATCAAGAGTACGAATCGTTAAAATTGCAATATCGAACGATTGCGATGTTTTCAAGAGTAAGCATGCTGATCTCTATCCGGTGGCTCAATTAATTTTAAAATTTATCACATATCACATTGAGTTAGACATTTACGATGTTAACGAAAGAAATATATTAACGAACTTCACGCTACAACTATTTGACATGAAATCAACGACAACGTTTATTCGATGCTAATCGGAATTGTCTAAAAAAAGTTATAGTTAAAAAAAAATTTGAAAGCATTGGCAAATGTCAAACGAAATGAATTGTCTATGATATTTCGCACAATTCTGCCAATTATTAAGTGTTTAAATGAATTTGTATGTATAAAATTCAACGAATGAAAATGGCGATGAATTCCCAATGACATTCATATAATTCATATAATTATCATATCAAAAGTAATTGGGACTTTAAAAGTTACACAATGTTACACCATAATCATTATCAGAACCGCTATATGTCTAAAAGGGAATGTGATATATTTTAAAATTAGACATTTAGCCTACTGATCGATCGTCTGACCCCTGATTTACCACGAGCATGTAAACGCAAAAAAAGTACTTCGAAACTTTTTCAACTTTTTTAAAGTACTTCGAAACTTTTTCAATTTTTTTAAAGTACTTCGAAACCTTTTCAATTTTTTTAAGCGCTCGCATGCAAGCTCTTTGTCAATCACGAGCCAACGGCCCGCTTACAGTTCACGATCGAGTCGGTCCTGAGGCATATTTAACGGTTCGCCTAACGCATCGCAAAACGCGGCGAGCACCAGTTCGGCGCGGGCCAAACGCCCCGCCCGGTTGCCGTCGCGTTCCGCGCGCGCCGCGGCCGCCGCTTCCGGCAACGCCCCCAACGCGGCCGCGAACACCTCCGCGCGCTCCACCCACCGTTCATCACTGTCGTCGTCTTGTTCGTTCGCGCCTTGCCACGACGACCACGATTCCGAATCGCTGTCGTCCGGAGTATCTTAAAATATATAAATCACTAGATGACCCGTTGTACTTCGTAATGAATGGGTGAGTGAATGTTTGTATTGTACACCATAAATAAGAAAAATCGATACAATTAAGTGGTACAATCGGCAGCCTTATCGCTAAAAGGCAACCGCAGGTTAGACTGGACTATTACTCAAGTAGATGGGCAGTAGATGGTGTCTTATATGGCGACAATATACATACATAAATGTACATAGATACATAAAATATACAATAATAGATATAACAGTACCTAAACAAAGTACACATATAGAACAGAAATAGGATGAAAACGATAGCATATTATACATAAAGTGATAAATAATATTCCTTTAACATATTTTTAAAGCATTTAAGTGATGGAGCGCGCATTATTTCTTTCGGTAATGCATTCGACAAGCGAACAGCCTGAATTGTGAATGGCATATCAAGGAATTGTGGAATGCATCGGCATCTGCAATTTTAATTTCTCATGATCTCAAAGCGCGAGAATGCGAATCACGAAGGAAATTGTTAGCACTCGGCACTGAATTCTTGGCGAGCTTGACGTCTCAGTCCGACATTCGAAAGCCATAATAAAGTATATTTATTCAACCCTTTTTTGAATCAGGTTTATATATTCTATTCGTTCCCAAGGCCCCTTAAGCCGTGTTTACGTAGTCATTGAATGATTTTGAAATCTAGGCTAGTCAATCAGCTTTAATAAACCACAAAAAACTACATTTTTTAATATCAAGTGCCATAATAATTTTAGTTCTTTTTCTATAGTTTAATAAAATGGAAAATTATCAAGTGCAAGTGATTTTAAATACAAACTTAATAAATAGGTATAGGAATGAAAATTTAAATCGACTTGTTACTGTAAAATAACAAAAATTAAATAAGTAATTTTTTGTTATTTGTTAATAGCGATGACGACAAATTTCTTTTTGTTTGTCCGTCAGGTAGATAGTTGAAAAATATTAAACACGTTTTTTTTTTTTCGTAATCATTAAATAACAGCGATACATTGAGTTAAAATGTCACATGACGTCACGATTTTGTATTATTTTCTACAAAACTGTGACGTACGAGCCCCCACTCCTCAACTAAGTCTAAGCTATTAAATTAAATCTAAGCTATTTCTTGGTTATTGACAAAAAATAATTTCTTCTTTTTACCCTGTCGTCATCCCTATTAAACATACTGAATATGTTTATATGAACAGTCAACAGCACATCGGTTTATACAAATATATAAAATTTCTCCACCCACTTGATTTAATGTTTTGAGGTTACTTTAAAATAAACTGGATTAATTTGACATATTGTAATAACCTGACGTACAGCCACGATAGCTACTGTAGATTTAGTTGTAATAATCACCTGGTACAGCTAGGGTTAGATGTTTTTGTGTTTTCATGTTAGGCCAGACATGCGCATGGAATGCTGCCCGTGCACGCTCATGACCGGAAGCTTCGCCCGTATCAGGATCAGCAGCAGAGCGATAAGGTATCAGTTCATAACGCCGCGTGGCGGTTGCGCGAATCAAAGTACCCTCTTCAAATTCGGACTCTGCCACCACAATGCGTACGCTGGCAGTTTTACCATTCCTTGTACGTCGTTCTAACAACTCTATTGCAGAACTGCTGGTCACCTATAACACAACATTTTTGGCTGTGACTTGAAAAAATCCAGACGTGTAACTAAAATAAAGAATTTTTTATTTACACATTAATATCAACAAAAAGTTCTTGCGTTTTAAGAAAAACTTGGCATATGGCAAGCTACCTGAGTCACATAAAAATATAAGAAAACAAAAAGCGCCTTCACTTGGGGGAGACCTAACAACAATCCAGGAAGTATCAAGGCTTTATATGGTCATAGATTTTTTGGAACTATCTGAAAGGATATTTCACTGGTAAAAGTGAGTTTTTTTGAAAACTGTTTGTGTTTTACAACATAAACTGCACAAAACACTTTAATATTGTTTAAGTGGAAATAAAAAAATTGAATTGACCTTAAAAAATGTAATACCTCCCAAAAGTTAACTTATACTGTTTATATTTTCCACCTTTGCACTATTGGGAACACTTGCACTTTCTTATTGTATAATCAAACTTAGCAGGTTTTTGTGATGATACCTAAGACATAACAAAACCGTACCTTATTTTAAGAAGAATTTAAAACATTATCAACACCCCTCCCCCTAAATGTCACAATACACTATACTATAAAAATAACCTAATTCAAATACCCTCCAAATTAACTTTACACAGTTCCGTAACTTGTAAAATTTCAATTAAAATCTATAATAAATTACCTGAATACCTAAAGAACAAAAACATACTCAATTTATAATAATAATAAAAAAAAATATACTTTTAAATAAATGCTTTTACCCAGTGAATGCATATTTGAATGCTTTTCATTTTAGATAAAATGGAATGTCTGATCCTATTCTTTCCATCTTTCTTTACTGTCATGTCTATCAAGGTGTATGTGAATATTATAAACTGAAATTTATGTATTTAGTTTATAAGTAACATGTAGGCAATGCAATGAATAAACAAATCATGTAAAATAAAATATCTAAGATGTTGTATCCTAGGACTAAAATCACCCATCTCACCCACACAAATTACCAAATCCAAAAAAAATATGGATAAATCTATTTAATATACATTAGAATTAATAGATTTATTGTGAAGCTTGATGGTGCAGTGGTTAGCATTCTCGGTCTGCATTACGTGGCGTAATCGTAACGCCATTAAGCAACTTTCGCAATGGCTGTTCATTGGATATGGGTAAATTATTTATATAATGCTTTGGAAGGCATTAAGCTGTATCTACAGTCATTAACACCTACCAATCCTTACTGACCCCATGCAGTGGCTAATGGCCCATTCTCCCATCATAGGTAAGACCTGTGCCATGGGGACATTAATAGGCTAATGAAGACAATATGACTAAATTTGTTCCACTAAAATTACCTCATCTTCAGTGAGATAAACAATGTGTCCTTCAACAAGATCCTTTATTTGTGAATTCAACTCTTCGCCATCTGCTAATATATGGAATCTCACATCTGCAGTATAATACTTATTAATGAGCCTCCATACACGACTCAGATAAATATCAGGATTGCCGCAATTTGCTAAATTATATTCATCCTCTATAAGTTCTGAAAAATAGCAATGTCATCATATTATGTAAAATGTACTTTTACTTGAAGTGATGTGGTCAAAAATCACAATAATTTTAAGTTTAGTCCATCTATTGCTCCTAAGTATTTTCAGTGTGTTACCAACTTAAAAAAGAAGAGGAGAATATACAGAGTGTTTGTACATGGACCAACACTATTTTTGAGAGATTTGGAAGGTTGTAGCATTGCATTTGCTATGTTTTAGCTATAAGCACCATGTTTAAAGTGTCCAAAAATTTTTTTTTTGTATGAATTTACCCAAAACAATGCCCTTGAAATGTATCAAACTAAAAAATAAAAATTTGGTCTGTTTCATTAACAAACAAAACATTGATTTGTGAATATGATTTAAATCATTATGTCAAAAAGAAAACTAAGTAAAAAAATCTAAGTAAAAAAAATTGTAAAAAAATCATATTTTTTTGTGGTACTTTCATGTTATTTTTTCCTATATAACAACCATAGCACCAAAAACATACAATTTCTAAATTTCAATATCTTTTGCAAAACATATACACATTTCACAAAGAGAAGCTGTGAAAATTCAAAATAAATAACATCAGATTTCTGAATTGATAATTTAAAGTTAAGAACATCTTAAACATCACATAAATAGGTTTTAATTTCTAATTTGAGTTTTTTAATGATCAATTGAAAGCAGTTTGATATAATCAAATCAGTGGATAGCAGACTTGTGAAACATAAATAAAAACTTATGCTGTTGTGAATAAATTAGTTGAGATATTGTACTTTTTTAATTTCAGACCCTTGAAGATTTAACTATAAAATATTTATCAGATTTTTAATCAAATACAAAATTATTTATATGAATTGAAGGATAAAATATTTAAGATTTAGAATTTAAATAAAGGAGAAGCTCAATGGCTCTTGGTTGGCAATGCAAAAGTTAAGCAATAACATGGGTGACCAAAAAATTATTAACTAGCTCCACTATAATTCGGAATATACATTAAGCCATGGGTCCTATCTAAATTTGCAATTGTTAGTACTGTTACACTGTGTGATGGGTTATAGTAGAGGTAACCATAACTCAATCCAGACTGACGGACTGTGCCCCGGAAGTAAGGACATTAATAGGCTATAAAAACAGGCCCAATGCGAGTCGGATTTGCGCATGAAGGGTTCCATACCATTATCTATGAAAAACGCAAAAACAAAATCACGTTTGATATATTGGGGCTCCCTTAAAAATGTATTTTTATAAATACAAATTTGTTGTTATAGAGGCAACAGAAATACATCATTTATAAGAATTTTAATTGTCTAGTTATTTCGGTTCATAACATGCAACTCAGTGGCAGATGGATGGACAGCCGAGTCTTAGGAATAGGGTCCCGGTTTTCCCCTTTGGAAGCGGAATGCTAAAAACTTCATTGTTGTTAACATTTCACATGAATTATCCACGTTCTTTCTTCTGCCAACTCACCTGCTATTACATAATTTGCCGCATCCCGGTCTCTTGCGCTCACCAAAATTACAGGCAAAGAAATAAATTCATCCATTAGTTCCATAGAGTACATTGTATTTTCGGTCGAAATTAAACGCCGTATGAATATTTCATTCCATTGTTCGGTATGGCGTTTATTAATTTGATAAACAATTAAAATTTGTTCAAGTCAGTAGCAGACAGTAGAGTATAATCCTGAATATTCTGAATAAAAATAAAATCACTAAACAACTTCGATCAACGTACACAATGACATTTTTTTTGTTGTTCATTTATCCCACACGGGCAAAGGATGTTAGGTCCATACAGCCCTGTCTGGAATACTTTTTTTTTATATATGGCCAATATATGGCCATGTTCCGTTATACACGGAAATTTTGCTAACATCGCGTAGTGAGAGAAACATGCGACTCGAGAGAGTGAACGGTGGTTATAATTAACCAATTCTTCCTTGAGCTTTTTCTTTCTCTACTAAAAAAAAAACAATACGAGAGCAAATAAAGAAATCCCAATGTCATTGTCAATTAAAATTAATTATGTCAAAAAAATCAATAAATAAAGATATCGATGTTTTTTTCGATATAAAATCTGCGATATTTTTTCCCCGATATGTCGATCTTTCAATATTTATTTTCGGATGTCAAATTCGATACATTTTTAAAGCTCTGCTGCTCATGCGTGAAATTAGAAAAAAAATAGGTAGGCTGTATGGGTTTAGTTTTCTTTACTGCTAATAATAAAACAGATAGCCAGTTATGTATTTACTTTAAAATTCCAATAATTTGACAAAGTTTATAGAAAACTATTTATTTTTTTTTTACGATATTTTATCGATTTTTTTTTACTTTAATTTTGATACTATTACGCATCTGAAATTTGAGGTAAGAGTACAAAACCAATGAGGAAGTATTTAAAAAAAACGAAAGCACGAAAGTTGATCTTTGCAGGAAACGAATGGACCAAAGACAATCATTTCCGTTCCTTTAACTAACATATTAAAAAACTGAAATTCGAAAAGTTCGAAACTTAGAAATCAATACAAATACGAAAAAGTACAAATAGAATATGAGTTGTGTATTGAGTTTTGAAAACTAATTTATTTTTAAACTTAAAAGAAAACTGGAAAGTTTGTCATGGAGAAATCAAGAACGTACCGTAACGACATCTAGTTTGATTTCGGGAACTAATGTATTTTTTTTAAATACTTCCTCATTGAGAAGATATATTGTGATGGCCTGATATGCAGCCGTGTATACAATAATAAGTGTTCCTGTGAAAATTAGCCTTTGTCCTGGTTCATTTCCAAAATAAAAACACGATAATTCTGGCAATGTCAGAGTTAAAATGTTGTTTGATAAGAGTGAAATATTCATATTTAGGTAATTTTAAGTTAGAATTAAAATTTATAAATTTTCCTCGTGTTAAATATGTCAGAATCCATTTCTTTATCTTTTGATTCAGAGTTTATTAAAACACTAGAAACTTTATGCAATAAGTTAACTTTAAAGACAAAAACGGCGGTTAAATGTATTAATAATTTATTACACAAAAAAAAACATATTTTTTATTTATTTTCGAAACACTGTTTTTTCTGGGGGATATGAACTATTTTTTGGGGGGATTTGAAATAGCCAACTAGCAACACTAAACAAAAATAACACGTGTTGTTTGCTTTGTAGACTTGCAGACGCCGCAAAACAAAAACCCTCTGGTCGCAGTTTGTGGCAGTCGCGCCTCAAACTTGAAAAAGAACGCACGGTAACACGGCGCTCTATTCTTGCCGTTTGATTGATTCAATTGGTTTCCTAAGTGTTAATATTATCTCAAGATGATTGCTTCAGAAGTTTCTATCAATCGAAAGATAATATCAGAAGATTTATCAAATGTCGAATTTGACACAAGCGAAGATGTGGAAGTTATACCAACATTTGATTCCATGGGTTTGCGAGACGATTTATTACGTGGAATATATACTTATGGTGAGTTATCATTGACAGAAAACAAATTATTTTAGCTTGTAAATTTATGGGTCAAATTATTATTTAAAGATTTTATTGTACTAATTATTATTAATTAGTAAATATTTTTTACTACTGTTACTTATTGTAGCGTTACAAGTAACTTATGTTTATAGTCGTGTTTTCAATATAAGAGAGTTTTAAGAGTAACAAAGTTCTAGGTAGGTAGTTAATAATTAATAAGTATTTATCAAAACTTAAAACAGGTTTTTTTCAATTTATGTTTAATGTGGTCTTTATTGTAATAAGCGCACATTATGTTCTCATATAGTGTATGGTGTTAGTTTAGGGATCGAATCTCAACAACTTATCTAAAGTTTTGGTAGTCAATAAATAATAATTATTTATCAAATCATTTATCTGTTTTCTTTTCAAATTAAGTGTCGGGTGTGGTCTTTATTTTTTATAAGCACATATTCTGTTACAATATAGTGTTACAACCCCTGTAACACTATTAGTCAAATAATTCAATAACTTATCAAAACATTTGTATAAAATATTAATAAAGTTCCTTTTTCTTAATAACTATTTGAGTAATTCATGGTAGGAGAGATTTATTAGTAATATAATTTTTTTAAAATAACAAGTTCTAGGTATTCAATAAATAATAACTATTAATCGAATCACTATCTATATATTTTTTAAATTAAGTTTCGTGCGTGGTTTTTGTTGTAATAAACGCACATTCTGTTACCATTATATTTGATAAATTCCATTAATTTGTATCGATTAACGGCTTAAGTTGTATCTACACTGTGAGGTGAATGTTTGGTGAGTTGTATGTTAGGCGCGTGGTGTTATTATTATCAAGTTTTTATAATATTATTTTTTAGCAAAAAAAAAAAAAAACTAAAGTAAATACAAGATATTTTAGATCTAAATATATTTCATTCTAGTTTACCATTCAAGATCTTCGGTATTATAGAATAATGTTATTTCCTAGAATTTAATCATTTTTCTTTAAACATGACATAAAATCTTGTTACTATATGTAGATGGAAAAATAAAGAAATGATAATACTATTAATGTAATTCGATATGATTTCGTCGTTTTATTTATTACAATTATATATTATGAAAAAACGCGTGTCTCAGTATTCAATGGTTTTTTTATTGTAGGTTTGTGCTAGTGCTGCCTTATAAAGGTATCATCAGATGATCTATTTGATTTATGAACGTCATAAGCTAATTGAATATTTTTGGAATAATTAGCTAATATTAAAATTCCTTTTGCAATAATTAGTTATTCAATTTGTTGTCTTTTCTATGAGGTTGATAATTTATAAGTTTCTGTTCTATTACCGGTACCGGTATGTAAGTATTATTTATACAATTTCAGTGAAGGCTATAAAATAATTAGGCTAAACGAGTCATAGGCAATCATTATGATTTTGAAGAATTTATTTAAATATGTGATGGTAACAGTGTTTTTAATTGTGACCTGTTTTTTTTACTCATCTAAAAAGTTAAAATAGAAGCAGACGCAAGAGATCATAAGATCTTATTCAACTTTAAATTGTCCTTGACGATGTAATCTGTATGTACATAACTATAGCATTCATTTCAACACAATATTATTTTTTCTTAAATTAAAAACTACTGTCATGGTTTCTGAAATGGATAACAAATTGTCATAATGTAACATATGCAAACTTCTCAATTGCCTTTATTGTTTTACCTAGTATTATTGCAGGTTTTGAAAAACCTTCGGCAATCCAACAAAGGAGTATTCTGCCTATGGTCAAAGGAAGAGACGTTATAGCTCAGGCTCAATCTGGTACTGGTAAAACGGCGACATTTTCAATATCTATACTCCAATCTTTGGACACCACTCTACGTGAGACTCAAGTGTTAGTACTTTCTCCTACCCGCGAGTTAGCAACCCAGATTCAAAAGGTTATTCTCGCTTTGGGAGATTTCATGAATGTTCAATGCCACGCCTGCATTGGTGGGACAAGTCTAGGTGAAGACATTCGTAAACTAGATTACGGACAACATGTGGTTTCTGGTACTCCTGGGAGAGTGTTTGGTAAGTCATTTATTGTGCTATACTAAATAAGTAACAGTCAGGTAGTCTGGTTGTCCATTAATCACCTAAAGTTCCAATAGAGGAGTATTTCAAATGCCGTCACTGTTCATATAATTTATACTTATCATGTGTATATTTTTATAAGAGATGAATTTATTATACCTTTGCTATTCGATACTTAGCATGCTAGCAATGTTTTAACTATTTATTTATTTTTGTTCGGTTTATTAAAATTAAGGCTTAGTAAAATTCAGTACCTGTATCTCGTCGTCGGTACATCTTTATTTTTCATACAATCATGTTGATCTTCATAAATTTGATCAAAGATTGAAAATATTAATTATAAACTATTTTGAACATGTCAGCATTAAAAAAGGTCATTCTTAGAAGTTTTTTTAGAAGGAATAATTATACCTACCTAATTATATTTTGGTAATATTTTCGCTTATTCGATAAACATATTAAATACTATATAGATTTTATTGGGGAAAAAAGGAGTGTAAAAAGTGATCTAAGAGCACTCGTGATTAATGGACGATTTCTTAATTGTGTTAATATCCTTGTCTTGTATATAGTTACGATAAATGAACAAAAGCAAATTTTCCATACTTTTGATCTACCCTTTTACCTCTAATATTATGTAGCTATTACACAATATATATTTTCGACATATTGACTTTATTATTGAACATAAAATTTTGATCTTGATTGCTGCTATGTATTGAGTGTATTTTACTTACTTATCTTTATTCTTTAAAAAATAATTATGATTTATTATTTTAGACATGATCAAGAGACGTGTTTTGAGAACAAGATCTATAAAAATGCTAGTTCTTGATGAAGCCGATGAGATGTTAAATAAAGGTTTCAAAGAACAAATATATGATGTGTATCGCTATTTACCACCTGCGACACAAGTTGCTCTCATCTCTGCAACATTGCCTCATGAAATTCTTGAAATGACATCCAAGTTTATGACTGACCCAATCAGAATTTTGGTAAAACGGTACGTGGTTGTTTGTTTGTGCTAAAAATATAGTAAAGTTTAAAACTTCGTTTTTTGGATTATCAAAATCTTATTCCTAAGTTTTGAATATTTTTTACAGTGATGAGTTGACCCTAGAAGGTATTAAACAATTCTTTGTGGCTGTGGAGCGTGAAGAATGGAAATTTGATACACTGTGTGATTTATATGACACTCTTACGATCACGCAAGCAGTGATATTTTGCAATACAAAGAGGAAAGTTGACTGGCTCACACAGAAGATGCGAGAATCCAATTTCACCGTCAGCTCTATGCATGGTGATATGCCTCAAAAAGAAAGAGATAATATTATGAAAGAGTTTCGTTCTGGCCAAACGTATGTATAAATAGTGTATTATGTTATTGTAAAACCTAAGTTATTGTACATATGTTCTCCAACTTTTTATTTCTTTTTGCAGTCGTGTATTAATAACAACCGATGTTTGGGCCCGAGGGATTGATGTACAGCAAGTATCTCTCGTTATAAACTATGATCTGCCTAACAATAGAGAATTATACATCCATAGAATTGGTCGATCTGGCCGATTTGGACGTAAAGGTGTAGCAATAAACTTTGTGAAATCAGATGATATTCGCATTTTAAGAGACATTGAACAGTACTACTCAACCCAAATAGATGAAATGCCAATGAATGTGGCTGACTTAATTTGAGTTTTTTTCATAAGCGCTAATTTATTATATCATGTTTATAACTATATCAATATAAATTTAAATAAAATTATTTTATTATTCCCTTTTGGATTTTCTATTTGAACCACCTATTTTTTGAAAATGCTAAAGCTGGAAACAAATTATCGGACGCGGCTGACGGTCGCGGCTGACAGCCGCGACTTATAAGTTTGCACAGTCTTCAAGGACGTAGCTTGCGGACATGTTTCGATGCCTATTCCACTAAGAACTGTTGACGAAGAAACATGTCGAGTAATGAAAGTGAGGACGAATTTTTCGAATTAGCGGCAGCAGCTTTATGTTGTCCAGCCAGAAAGAAAATAAAAAGAAGTTCGTCCACATTTGGGTCCATGACATAAATAAAGTGTGGTGAATTTCACACTTTGTATCCACAATTATTAAGAGATGAATGTCGCTATAAACTTTATTTGAGAATGAATGAGGATCAATTCAATTTTTTGCTAAATCTAATCGAAAACGACATTGAAAAACAATCAACACAGTTCGTACTCCTATATGTTTTTTTATAACATCTTTATAATCCTTCAATTTAGGATTATAAAGTAATTCTTTGTTGCGAACATACTATATAATTCGTTCCTCCTTTTTAACGCACGTGTCGTTAACGCAAGAATCACATATTCTCTCTGGTATTCCACGGACAGGAGGTAGTCCTTAGTATTCTCATCTATAAATTTGATTTTGTCAAATATTATAAAGATTTCTATGATTACAATTATTCATCAATTTCAATAAAACTCTGGGAAGACCAAACAGTAGCTTAAAATATTGAAAAGTTTGATTGGATTGGAGTGTCCTCTTTATTAATGAGCACAGTGTGTGTTATACTTTGTCATATCATCCCCCTGGTTTTAATGTTCCTACTATCAACCTCTAGCTAATCAATCGGTTGTATAATAGTTACGCATCATTTGAATAGATTTTTATCTTGATAACAAAAACTTAAATAAAATTAATAAAATAACTGAAGGAGAAGGATTTTTTTTATAAAGCCAGGATAGGGATTGTTATTAAAAATGCGTAAAAGCTACGAAATTTTAATCTAATCGAGAAGAATGAGAGCCAAGCACTATGTATGAAAAATGTTCCTACGTGGCCATTAAACGTGATACAAAAATTTTGAAATAAATCCCAAAATTTATGTCTACAAATAGGTGTATAAAAAGTTTCTTTGATTTCTTTCACTAAGATTTTTCCGTATCGTAAGATTTTTGAACAGGGGGAAGCGTGTAGCCAGATTCTTATTTTATTTTAAAAAATACACTGATATAAAGACTTTTCCAAGTAAAAGTATTAATTAGGTACTTTAATCCTGATAAACAATATCTGTTCATTCAAAAAAATCCAGTCTCTTATATTCAAAATTTACTTTAAAATATTTTTTTGGGGGGATTTTTCAAACTATATTATTTTCTGGGGAGATTTCAAGTGAGCACGAGGGAAATTCCGAATGGCATATGGCTATACTGAACTGTTCAATAAAAAAAAACAAAAAGAAAAGATATTTGACATTTTGAATATTCTCTATGCTTTTCGTTTTGACTTGGTTGCTTGATGGTTGCTCTACCTTATTTCGTAAAACAATACGGGGACGTATTTGATCAAATTCGGTGTGTTAGGCTCGTGATGTTAAGTTTGAATTGAATTTCAGTTGGTAGATATCATGGATAATATAATTTCTTGGACAGCGGAAGACGAGGCTATCATAGCAACCAACACGGACGCTACAGAATGCAAGAGATGCGCAGTTGAATTGGGATATTGGAAAGATGATTACATATCTTATTTTGTAAAACATGTCGATAGAAAAGCGCCTGAGATAAACCGTGGTTACTATGCTCGAGTCCGAGCTATGGAGATGTTTATTCACCAATTTTTAGAGGTTACATTTTATTAATTTTTTAATAGAAACTTACACACGCTTAATTAAGCTCTAAATACTTTATCGTATAACTTGCATAAACTTAGATCAAACCATCAATTATTGAATCCTCGAAGCAGTTTTTGGTAATATATTACTCCATACACATATGTATGTACCATAATGTGAACGGTGTAATATATTGACCAAATGTCCATAGTACCATTGGAGGTACTATGGACATTTGGTATTCTGAAATAAAAGGCAAACATTAAATTGCAACATATAAGTAATTTGGCTTTCTTCAACACCAACACTTCCAATGTACCTCATGTGTTCACAAGTTTTGAGAGAAACTTTTTACTGAAAAAATAAAATATTATTGGCTGTATTAATTTTTTTACCGATTTTGAATTTGGTATGTTAACTTTTAGTTTATATGTATTGCAAATTCACTTGTTTATATTTTCTCATGATGGAAGAAACAAAACAATTATGTGCAACTGTCATTTTGCAATTTAAGGTGGGAAAAAACCAATGTAGATTTTCTGCGAGCTGAAAAGTTTTCCTATAAGCTGTAACTTCGTCTATTACACAATACAGCAGTACAAAGAGATATATTCTCTGCAAGATTGCCAAAGGAGTAGTCAGCCACACTCTGTGAGGATACCTCGAACATCAAAATTATCCCAGAGCGACTTCGCCGTAATCCATGTTGCACTCAGAAGAAACTCACTCTGCAGACTAATATTTTATGCGTTTCAGTGAACAGATTACTGTATATGATCTTATGGTAAAGGCCGCAGAAAAAATAACTTTTTGAAACAATTGTCTTCATAAGTTACGACGCCAACATTGTTCATTGCTGCCAAGGAGATATGATCCAGGAAGATACTTTTCACCAACGAGAAAATTTCAAAGAAAAGTCCAACTGACAAAACTATAAAGTGTATGTTTAAAAGTAGCAAAGATGGAATGTCTCGCACACTCATAATCCGGCTAGTGTAATGGTATGGTTGGGAGTTTTGTATGAAGGTGTCACTCTGCCCCATTTTTGTCAACAAGGTGTCAAGGTGAAAGCCAAGAATTACCAAAGTGACATTTTAGAGCCCATGGTGAAACCCCTGTCTGATACGTTATTTCACAATAAGGATTAAGTTTTAACAAGACTGCGCCATCACACTACAAAAAGCACCCAAGCTTGGTTGAGGGAGAATGTGCCGGCCTTCATCGCGGCGAATGAGTGGCCCTCCTCCAGCCCCAAGCTCAATCCACTGGATTATTCTTTATGGATTGAATTAGAGCCCAGGGCCTGCCGAAAGTCCCACTCAAACTTGGAGTCACTGAACCCTTGTTCGACAAGCAAAGTGAATTCCGCTAGAAAAGATTTGTGTCGCTATTGTTGACTTGCCAAATCGTCTAAGGGCCTGTATTATAAACTAGGGCAGTAATTTTTGATAGAATATATATTTTATTATTGATTATTATCTATTTAATGGTTACTGAAAATTTTAGAAATTTAAATTAATTGTTAAAAAAGTTACGCAACTTTTTTTTTGGTTTCAAAACTTATGAACACATGAGGTACAATACTGACTTGCCCTGTGTCGGTTTTTGAAACAAGATCAAAGGAGAGGGGAAGTAAATGGGAGTGCGCAGGGACATTTAGAACATAATGCCGAGTATGCACCACACATTGGTCCGTTATGTGTCATGACTTTCATGTTATTGTTCGCACGTAATTCATTTGTGCATTCCATAATTTAGGTAAATGTAACCTAAACAATATGCCTATCAATTGCTAGTGAAAAAATCACATTCTTTCACTCTGTGACTGCAAGTACTGCAACTGGTAGTGGTCCAATACTATTATTCAAATGTTTAATTAGTTTGAATTCAAGACAATGTATGGTGTAGCAATTGCCATTTGAAAGTTGAATACTATGTGTGGTGTTATATTGGCCATGTTGAAAGTTGAATCCTATGTGTGGTGGCTTAAAATTACCTATCATAATTTTGTTACTACCCTTCAATACCATATTGTCTGTATAATTTATAAAGTTTTTTTTAAATAGGTATTTGATACTTTACAGAGATGTGATACAAAATGTCAAATTATCAATCTCGGTTGTGGATTTGATACTTTGTATTGGCGGTTGAGAGACACTACCCAGGCAGTTGGCAATTTCATTGAGTTGGATTTCCCATCAGTAACAGCTAAAAAAGGTCACATTATAAAGCGCAACAAGCAACTTCTTGAGAAGATATGCAATGAAGGTAAAACAATAATTTTATTATTTATTTAGTAATTGATAATGATAAAATGGGAAAGGTTCATCATTATTAATTTTATATCATTTTCTTTCTGAAATGGAGGGTTTCATCCAAGAAAATTCATTTTTAGAATTTTGTACCTCAAAAGGAAAAACCATAATCATTATAGGATTACTGCATTGCAAATTACTGGCATGTGTGTATTATTGACACAGTGAGATGAGCTTGCAGACGTCCCCCTGTGCTCCACGTGCCGACCTCACGACCAGTGTAACTGAGCAATTCATAAATCCTTATACTTCCGCTCATAACATTTTCTGTTTTATAAGCCAATATTAATTTTATCTTTGCTACAATAATTCCACTTAGTAGACATCATTTTTCTTTTCATCAGATGGTGAGGTAGTGATCCGTGAGGGTGATCTTCACTCGGATGGTTACCATCTGCTGGGCTGCGATCTGCGCTGCCTTGGCGAAGTGCGTCGTAAACTGGCAGTAGGTGGTGTGAGTGATACTGCTCCTACACTTGTATTAGCAGAGTGCGTGCTTGTGTACCTACGGCCTGATGCAGCCGCTGCGTTACTACGCCATCTTGCCGCAACATTTCAACGCTGTGCTCTAATTGTTTACGAACAGTGTAATCTCGGCGACAAGTTTGGTGAGGTAATGTTACGCAATTTAAACGCACGTGGTTGCGCCCTAGCTGGCGAACGATTATGCCGCGAGCCATCAGCGCAAGCTGAACGTATGCTTACTCTAGGCTTTGATAAAGCGCGCGCTTGGGACATGGAAACTGTATGGCGTGCGTTGCCGGAAGATGATCGGGCGCGTGTTGAATCTTTAGAAATGCTCGACGAACGCGAGTTGCTGCTGCAACTCAACACGCACTATGCCCTCACAGTGGCTACGCGTGGTGATGTCTTCGCTGATATGGACCTAAATGCGTAGGCGGTACGTGTGTATTTCGTACGGCGCTTTTCGTCATCTCGGGCCCGCCTTCGAAGCGTGCGTTTGCGACGCCGCAACTTTCGAGTCTTCGCTTGTTATGGCAATTGTTTTTATAGGTATTTTCTCGATTTGATTGATACGAAAATTTTGTTTAACGAAGATTGTTTTCGGTTAGGATTGTTATGCAGTCACGATGTCGGTTTAATGTGGTGCACTCACTTATTAAACTAAAAATAAATTTATATTGCTATGAAAATTTATAAGATCTCCAGATCAATATACCTACTAAAGGATATCTAGTGCTTACATAAACGTTTAAAATGTTTCATCTTAGTCTTCAATTTGTTTTGGTGTATATCGTCTAATTGGAATATATAGTGTGCATCCTTATTATTTGCTTCTGTGTTGTTTTTTATGACGCCTTTCTCTCTGTGAATAAATTACATTGAAGCAAATAGCTCAGGAAGGGAAACACATCTAGCACGCAATCTATTATAGGTGATTATGTGGACAGCTTTGCCATGCTTCGTGTCTAGTAAGATTATATTTGTATTATGTTCATTTCGTAAACTAAGTTCTTGAATTGTTTAAGAGGTTGATATTTGAAATATAACTACTGTATAAAAACTACAATTTTATTTCTTCTTCAATGGCTCTTGGACAATTAAGCCAATGTGATATCAATTACTAAAATACTTCGTTTGTTCCTTATGTTTGCCTGTTCCTTTTATTTTGTAGTCTAACAGGGCTACTCTCTATGAGTGGAGAGTAAAGTGATATTTTAATTTTGTTATTTGATGTTTTGCGGATTGTTTCCGAGATATATTCGATTTGATGCGGCGCGATGGTCGTATGAAGCAGCTTTCTAGTCTAGTTACAAAACGTCCACATGTATTTAAATACAATTATTGTTTTGAGTAAGCTCACAAAGAAACACGTGCACAATATCAAATACCCATATATGTTTTTACACACCTATCAAAATATTACAAAAAGTACCAATTAATTGGCATATGAAGAATCAGAGTAGCCCTACCAATTCTGATTATGACCGAACGTACGATTAATATATATGTGAGTCTTGTTTTAATAACTATATGCTGTAAAATACCACGGTTAAGGTTTCCGTCTTACTCGTACTCAGCAGGGGCCAAGAGCGGTGAATATTGATTGGTGGATCGCCTGATGGCGTGATATTGTGAGTCTTGTTTTAATAACCGTAAAGTGTTAACTAAAACGGATTTGGTGTACATCTCACTCATAGGTTCTCAGGGGAGTCACGAGCGTGGATATTGGTGGATCGCTCGATGGCGTGATACTTGAATCATTCTGATTGGCTGACATTTGCCGCGCTTCAAAATTACGTTTGGCGTCGGGTCTGTTTTTTTTTATTGAGGGTCATTGATTATGGCAGTAAGAATGTGAAAGGTCTCCCGCCGTAGATTTACGAACCTTTGGCTTTCGATTTTCACACTTAATAAATGATTTTGAGTAATGTCAATATACCGTGCAGTTTGAGAGCGGGAATTATCTACCATAAAATCGTGACAAGACTGTAGACCCTCTATACTTGACATTGCATTGGGATGTCTTTTTTACCATTATTTTCTTAATTTTATGGAATTTAAACATTGTTTATATTATGAATAAGAATTCTATTTATTATTGTACGTGAGAATGTCGTGTACACGTGACCTCCATGTGAACTTTGCGTGTACCAAACGTTCTGATGTAATTGTTTTAGTGTCTACAACAGGACGTGAGCTGACCCAATTTCTAAATACTTCTATGAAAATAGGAGCCAAAATAATTTTGTGAAAGAAAATGAAAGAATCTGAATAAGAGATATAGCTTCAGTGGAAATTAACAAGATGCCAAAAATAATGATATTTTAAATTTATATGCAGTATCTTTTTTAAAAATTTGATTGGCTGCTAAATATATTTTCACATAATTAAAGGGTTGCAATGGAGGGAAAATGCTTTGGCGATTTAGTATGTGCATTGTGCATGTTCTTAATTCTTTGTGGTGTTTTATAGATATGATAGCGAGTGATATATATATTTAATATAATTACCAAAACCTGGATGAGAAAGAATACTCTAATGGTCAGTGGCACAAACGTCCATTAAGGTTTAATGACTCCTTTAAGTGCTAATTAATGTCAAATTTGTATGGGTAATGTCGCTTTAAGCTAATGACATTTTTAATGGACATTTGTGCAATTGGCTGTAAATGTGTTATATTGCCAGTTGTATATAAGTTCTCAATGGCGAAAGCTATTGTTTACCTATATCTTCAGGCCGATGTTCTTTGTGAATGACAAGAAGGATTAAGAAGGTTCATTTACACTTGACAGGAGCTTAAGTTGTATTAATATCAGAATCTACCTTGCGTAGGAAAAGTCATTAAAGGTTCTGATCACAAATTTTATTTTACGGTTCCGCTTTGGAAAGTGATAAGAAGATTTAGTTTTTATAAGTTCTAATTTATATATTGTTGGAATATGTTGAATGAGTCATCAGATGTTAAGAAAATATTTGTTTATTGGTTGTTAAAAAGTTTTACATAAGTTATTTTACAAAAACACTTATCATACAATAATACCATTTCATTTCACGTTTCTTGTTACCAAAGTCTATGATATCACACGATGAATTGTCACTAATTTGCTTATTGGACGACTCTCCGAAGTAATTTCCGCTGTAAAATGCATATTTTTGTTAGTACTGTCCTCATTAGCACGGGATGTATCTTAAAAGAATACTATTCAGAAGTCATCAGAAGTTCAATACTAATTTTGATAGAATTATTTTTCTTTTCGAAGCTGATTCTATGAAAAACAAAGAATTACGTACAATTTAATATAATAAGCAGTCTTTAAAGTATTAAAGTAAATACCGATTGTTGGAGTAAAAGGCGTAACAATTGCAGTTCACGTGCTGAGTTTGCAAACTAGTACTATATCCCCTGATTGGACTTCTGGCAGTAATATTAATTTAACATTTGTAATAATTTTTAATTACGTTTTGTCTATCAAACATGCAGTGCACTAAATAAAAATTAAAAATGCATCAACCTAACCTCGATCACTGATTGTTATCTATCAAAACATTATTTTGTATTCGTTCTCTTTGCGGTCCTAATCAGTAAAAACATAAGACTAATGTTATTTTAATATAAAATTATTAAAGTTTTGGTAAGAACTGATAGTGATCTCTATCTGTATGAGCTTAGAGTTTATTACTGTATTCTTGTAATCATATCAACAGTATTCAAAATATAATTACAAATACAACAAGTGGCTCGATAGTCTGGTCGTGTTTTATTGTGATGTAACTACCTTCCGTATAAACTAATACGGGATTATGTTTAGCCGTCTTAGTGCCAGGGCGTCTGTTTGTTTCTTCTAAAAGTGCCAGATGCGCGGTAACGACTCGCGTCAGTGTGTTTTTGAATTGTGCCAGCAGCTGTCGTGTGCTTCAGACGTGTAATTTGTTTTACAATTTATGTTAAACTGTATTCAAACTTTTGTAAATATAAAGTTACACATTATTTTCTCTTACTCTAAAATTTCTTAAAAAAGGGTAATAATTCTTGGCATTTTTCACATATATTGCAAAAAATGTATGGCACTAAGACGGTTAAACGATCGAATATTATTCGCCAGAGATCATTAGCGTTGCAGTCGCCTTGTACATAGTTCAATGTGAGTACTTATGTAAAACATACAGTAATCATTAACGAAATGTTGGCATAACAGTTTGATGTCAATTACAGGTGCCCTTCAGCAGTTTTCTATTATTGAGGTAGTAACATACTTTTGAAGCAAATGCAACGAGTGTAGGTAAATTTGGTGTTTTGATTCCATCCATTTTTGTATTGGAAATCATGGTTCCGTTTGCGGAGGTAGGTGGCGTTGTGCAAATATCGAGACGAATACCTATTTGACTTCCGCTCGATACGGAATCGATTCACACTCGATAACTTTTGTTATAGGATTCATAAATCGTTTTTTATTCGACTCTGAATGGTACATCTCGTTTTTCTAGTTAGCATCAAATTTTGAAAATAAGTTTCCGTATTATAAATAGGGTTGCCAGTAGCAGTGTAGTAAAGTATCTAATTATTGAACTACAATGAATTCTGGTGTTCAAAAGACTGATGAAGTGTACAGAATGAAGAAATAATATTTTCGGTGGTTTTTTGTTTTTGAAATTTATTTAGATACGCATCGATATTGATGCAAAGTAATTGTATTGTCATTTTGTAACTATTTAGTAAGCGTATCAGTATTAAATACTTTTGAAAAATAATACTCCTTATTACATTTCTAAACGATTGGTAGTCTAACTCATGCGATTCCGTTTGATAATAAGGTTACATATATGTTAAAGAAAAGTTGAAATGCGCCTGTACGTGATATTGAACCCTAAACAAGGGCTGAGGTATAAAAGTGTGCTGTGTTATGTGTAAGTAACGTGTTCCAACATTTAAATTATTATGTATAATATAATAATCTCTGATAAAGTTGTCTGTAGTATATAAATTTTACGAGATGTAAATTATAATTTCATTATTAAATTATTAATAACATTCAAACGTTGACAAGTATTTTATTTCTGGAACAATGCATCTACAAGCTATTTTTGCTTAATAATATCGTGCGCAAAGTAACTTAATATTACGCATTCACACCTTAAACCCTGAGCAGGTTTTATGAAATTTGGTGCAGAAATAGAGTTTACATTGGGAAAGACACAAAGGTTATATTATATCACGAAAAATGGGGTGGAAGTTTGTATTAACGTCTGTCATATTTTAAGTTAGAAATATGAATCTTTATATTTGAGTTACTAGTTAAATGGTAAATATCTGTATCACCATTTGTAGAAATTCCTTCAAAATAGGGTTTGAAAGCTCGTATGGAAGAAAATAGTATAATAGTCTTGTTTTCTTTTTTTCTAATAATATTGTCTATGGTAAATGGGAAAAATAATTAAGTTACGTAGTTTTTATTTCGTAACGAACAGATAAATTTGAGACTAAAATTTAAAAATCGAAGAGGGTGGCGCTGCTACACTAATGACCAGTGGTCGGAATTAGGTAGAGTTATTCATGTACTTACACTGATTTCATACAGCGAAAGAATAAAGTGGACATGCCTCAAATCCCGAGATTAATTGTAAAGAGCAGAAAAAATCCCGTGATTTTTTAAATAAAAAGTTATTTACTTTTACACAATTCAAACTACTGCACGCACGACGTTGCCAAACATACATCAATGACCAAAGATGTCCAAGATTGTCCATTAGAAATCCCGGGAAGGTCCACATTAATATCAACATTTCGATGCAAGTACATAAATAACTCTACCTAATTCCGACCTCTGCTAATTACTTGCTGAGTAATTCGATAAAGTAGTAGGTATTCATAACATCATTAATTGTCAGTAAAAAAAAAACAACTTACTCAATATCACTTGTCCTACACGTGCGGCAAACACGCAGCCAACGCTCTGCGCAACGCTTGCCGCACGTCGGCACGCCCCTCGCAGAACACGTGGGTCGCGTGCCGCTCCACCTGCACTAGTGTGTCATGGCGCGGCAAATGCACTATGTCGCCTTCTACTCTTGCTTCGGTGATACCTTCACGGGCGAGAGCTAACACGAACGATTCCACGTCCAGAGCGCCCCAGTGCACGCGAGCAGTTTCTGCTTCTGTTGATATAAATCATTACCAGGCTTCCCTATGGATGGAGTTGGTCGTGAACCACCACGCGGTTCAGTGCGGATTGGTGGGTATTAACGACTGCAGATGTAGCCGGGATAAACGGTTATCGTGCCCTCCGAAGCACGGATGATCATCAGTCATCAATCCAATGACTGGCACTGGTAAAAGTTGCTTAACAACCGTATCGTAAACTAACTAACTAGTCGTTGCGTTTAAATCATAGTGCGTTACACGAATTTCCCCTCTTACAGTTGTTTATATAAATTCTATTAATCATTGTTCTATCATACTTCATCGACATACGTGTGACGTAATTAATGGAGGGCCCAGGGGGCGGGGTGACACTGACTTTGCTTTTTTTCGGTTCTGTTTTTCACGGCGAAAAAACGGAACTTTTAAGGATCACTGGTGAGTACGTTTTTTTTACAGCTGATATACTTGGAAACTGTTAGGCCGATTGAGTTAAAATTTGGTATCAATACATATAACGTAAATCAATGAGGGAGCGCAAAGGCAGTACATGAATTTAAATTTTTAAATTAGAGGGAGGAAAAAAGTTGAAGCAGAGGAGCTACACATTGGGAGTCCAAATGTTGCCATTTCAAAGGTCCCGGGATTACCGGTCAGGTCAATAGAACAGTACTAACAAATTATAAAAATCTTTCCTTTTTATAATTTACATAATTACCTGTAGTAGAAGAGCCGGCAGCGGGCAGCGCAGGAGGCGGTAACAAGTCCAGCCTGTTGTCGCGTAACGCGAGCGCGGCGGTGAGGGGCGCGAGGCGGAGGGTGGGCGCGGGGGTCGCGGGCGCGGGGGCGGTGGTCGTGCGCGCGGGGGCCTCGGGGGCGGGGGCGGCGCGCGCTGCAGCCGCGGCCGCGAGGGACGCGGGCAGGTGCGCGCGCGCCGACCGACGACGCACGCCGCACGCGCGCGCCGCCCCGCGACGGACTACCACAGTCGGCACTTCTGTAGTTATATGCGCCCTGATGTCACCATAACAAAAATCATATTTAAATGAAACTATTTTGAACGGGTGTAGCACATCAATAAATAAAAAAAAAATCAAAATTATTTATTCGGTCTAGGCTGTTACAAGCACTTGTAAAAGTCGAGAGCTACGCCATTGGTTCGTAAATCTACGGCGGGAGATTATTATTATAATATACTTTATTGCACAAATAAAGGACATCACAAAGAAAGAGAAACCTAACTAACCGTATACAAAAAGGCGGTCTTATTGCTATGCAGCAATGTAAAAAACATAGATAAATAATAATACTGATGAAGGTGAGTAGGAGCAATAGTGACAGAAATTAATTAGATATGCGTAAAGAGAGATATGCATACAAAAAAGAGAGCGAAAACTTTCTGAGAAAGTTTCGACTTTAAATAAAATAGTTTTATTTAATGAGTAATGCGTGAAAATACAAGAAATCAAAATCACATTTACCCATACACCTGTACACAATAGACCAGACAATAAGGATGCCGGGGTAAGAATAAGAAATTTTATTTAGTGCGACGACGTGAATGACGTCACATTTTAATAAAGTAACCGTCTGCTCTCATCTTAATTCTTATATTGAAAGGAATTCCCAAGCAATTCCAATTTGTGCTTATGTTAATCTCACAAATGGAACAAAGATTTATATGTTTATTGGAATTTGATATCACGACTCAAAATGTCACGCGACTGACTGATTACAAAATGAATGATTTTCAGATTACAAAATTAATGAATAATGCTAGGTTTTCTTTATATCAAACACTTTTGTGAGAAAAAGAAATTTGATGGTAGTTTAATATGATCATATGAATAAGCAATTTTGATAAAATGTCAAGAAAGCTTGTTATAAAATAGAAAAAAAATCTTGGACTTGAGGTGTTCCTACCATTTTGATAGGTTATTTCTTTTAAACTAATTATATCACAAAGTTATTATGATGCAATCTAATCATATTTTTAATCTGTCAATGATATGGTTTTTTGTATGTCGTTACTTCTATTAGAGTTGGTGAGTTTTTGGTCATTCATCTTATTAGCCAAAAGAAGTTCTGAAGTGGTAAGTAAAAATGTTAGACGATTTTTAAAGTACTTCAAAGATTATTTTGACTTTGATTAGTCTGAATATTACCTGGGTGCCGAGTGTTGGTGATGCGCAGGTGGCGGGGCATATTGATCAGGTAACGCCAATTCCTTTGGCCGCAGTTCACGTACCAGTTTACTCGCTTGAGAGTAATTTAGCGACGTATCAATGGGGCAATGGAACGCTTTCATACTCAAAGGTTGGAATGGAGCTAGTGCCTCGGTGTGGGGGAAATCGGGCTCTGCGAACAATGAAAAATGAATGGTAATAACACATGCTTTGTTGTCCTGGAGACTTGGAGTATGACAAATAAGCGAGAGAAATATACAAAAGGCGGACTTTTATATTTCATAATGCGGTAGGTACAGTTGACAGCACGTGGGACTAAACAAATTTGTCAAAATTCTCCACACGATTTTAAACCTTAATCTACTTGTTGTAGAGGTCATAATCTTTTGCAGAAATTTACATATTGTAGTAATCTGACGTGCAGCCGTGTGTACATTATGCGATTAATGGTTTCATACGTGAAGTTAGCAGAATTGTAGTTGACGCTAAGAAGTCATTAAAATATAAGAAGAAAAAGAAGAGAAACGACAGAAAACCTGTTGGTTATAAAACTTTCGAGTAATTTCTTGAATACCATCTCACTCATACACTGCACGGATCAGGCGCGTGGTTTGTCAGATTTATATATCTTTCATTTAAAGACCGAAATCTTTAATGCCATTTTTTTGTAGAATATCGTGACAATGTCAAAAAATCTAAAGCGGTTGAATGGAATACCTGTAAATATGATCGCGTGTGCTGGATTATTGGCCCAAAGCTCCACTAAATGAACGGCTGCTCCGAATCGTAGACTTGGATGCCCACAGAACACGACACATGGCTGCAATGAAAATAATAAAAAACAATACGATAATATTTAACGCTACCTCATTATGTTATTTACACTTTGACTTATTCAATTATAAATAATATGAGAAATAAAAATGTGTTTAGAAATGGAGATTAAGAGCGGATTGGTTTAAACAAAACTGTCAAATTTTGCTAATTGACTAAGCTTTAATATTAAAGTTCTAAATCTGTTGCGGAAATTCGTCAGTAGGTTTCTGTAATTAATTAATTTTAATGTATTCGATAATTAAAGGTTAGGTTGAATCACAAGCAATTATTTTTGATGGCTATTAAATGCTTGCACATACAAGTGTGTACATTTGGTTTTATTTATATTAAATATAACCGAACACTAAACATTTGAATTTACATCGTATCGTTTGCATAATTACATCGTAACTATTAATTACATTAAACAAATATTAAGTAACATTAGAAATCTGAAAATTATAGTTTTTATTAATGAAAATGAAATATTCGTGCTTATTATTGTCATATCGTCAATTATGGAGATACTTAATTTCTTGTCTTTATGACTTGAAACAATTTTTAAGATGAGACAAATTAAGGTATCCTTTTTCTATCTATAGAATGTATATCTATTGTATTTAAGAGTGAACATTTTTAATTCTAAATTATTATATTATACAAACAAATATTATAAAAACTGTAACCAAGTATTACCTGACGGAACTCTGCACTGAAAGCGTCATCGTGCAAATGCTTTGCATGACGCAGACGTCCAGCACGCGCCAGCGCCGCATGCGGAAACGGTTCCTCTGGCAAATACACTTTCGCTTGCTTACCCACCGACACCCATTCAGCGAGAATATTGCTGTACGCCAGCGATGAATCGGCTACAGGCGATACAACATATAATGGGACATGTTGTAACCCGGCTCCGTCGAGATGTGCCGATAGACATTCGAGGAGGTCATATAATACACCGCTTGGGTAAACGGGGCATAGTACACAACCGCCCCCTCTTAGTGTTACAGTCGCGTGGACGCATAGATCACCGAGCATGTGGTCTGGGTTGTGAGCTGGTGTTTGTGTTAGAGCAGCCAGGATGAGAAGATCGGCTCCACGTAACGCCGCCTTTGGAATGAGCGTTAAGATTAATTCGACCGAGATAAAATTTTTTGATTGTTGTTTCAATTGAATATATATAAGTGCTTCGTTTTTATGTTATAGAGTTTAAACAAGTATAGGTAATTGTTTCTATTTGTCAAGGATAAAAACATGAAATATTTGTGACGTCATAATTTAGTAAGCCACAAGGAGCATGGCTAAAACTGTCCCCCCACTCTTACCCCGCCATTTAATTTATAAAGACAATCTTGAAGTGTTATTGTTTAAATATACTTTTCTACAAGATCTACAAAATTTTGCTAGACATAGACTCAATCAGTAAAAAGATTTGAAATGACATTTGTTTTAAAGCAATGAACTAACCTGATTGATAGGTCGCGGATGCGTGGTAAGTGTTGAAGAGCCGCTGACGTAAGCGACCTTCTCCCGGGCCGAGCGCAGTACCCAGTTGGCAGAGCCGAGACAGAAACCTGAACTGACAGCCGTAGCGTCGAGTGCACCATAAATGTCAACTCGTTCATCATAGCCAACTACACGGACACGAGATAAGGCGCGTGTTACAGAAGCAGGAGAAAATAGACGGCGCCATGATCGTGGACGTGACGCTAGGGCTAACGGCGGCGGCAACACATGTAGCAATTCCTTCCAACGTTTTGCTGCGCCCGCGTTGCCAGAGCCCCCAGCCCCTGATACCCACTCCGCTAATTCTTCCAAGTAGAACCTACCAATTTGCAGTGTCGGTTCCGTTGCATATACTTGGCCTTTAAATCCTGTATCTTCGGTAATAAATGGTAGTGCCATCATGCATGTATAGTTTGATATTAGTATTACATCTAGTTGTGAGAAATCTACTACTTTGTCTAGTGGAGGGCAAAACTCAGGGATACTGTCAACAAAAACGCGCCCACAGCACTCTTTTAACTCCTGAAAAATTGTTTATTTAACGTTAGAGAGAATAATTAAATTTTTCGGTAATTAATATTAATATTTGGAACTTTAAAATTATATTGTAAACTATGTATGGTTTAAACCAAATGACAATAATAGCAAAGAAAAATGTAACTGAACAACATATTTCAATTATATTTTTAAACTCACACGATTTGTATACATTATAATTATATGCAATCGGGTCTTGTTCGTGCATTTTTTAAAACAATTAATTTACCTCGACGTTTCGGCTACGTTACAGCAGCCGTGGTCACGAGGAGACTGGAGAACTGGCGGGTGTCGTCTTCTGATTTTAGTTGAGGGTAATCCGGTAATAATGTTTTTAACTGATTTCCAAAAACCTGGCGTTTATAAAATTGACTGCAGCTGCGGTAGTTCATATATCGGACAAACGAAGCGGACTATCGCCGAACGTGTAAGAGAACACATAGCAGCGGTCAAAAATCGTCAAGTGGAGAAGTCCGCGATTGCAGAGCACTTATTATCATCTGGATCAAACCACTGGATCGAGTTACATACACCTCATGTCCTTTCCACTGAACGACATTACTATCCAAGGATTGTTCGTGAAGCGGTTGAAATAAAAAAAACACAACAATTTCAACCGGGAAAGTGGATATAAACTCTCACCAACGTGGAATCCGGTTATAAAAATGAATAAGTGTCGCGATCGCAAACAACCACGAACAATATTCTCGGATACCGTAAGTGCAGTGTGTCGCCACCTTTACGTATACTCGTGACCACGGCTGCTGTAACGTAGCCGAAACGTCGAGGTAAATTAATTGTTTTAAAAAATGCACGAACAAGACCCGATTGCATATAATTATAATATTTCAATTATTTATTTAACAAACAATGGTTTAAACCAGATACTAAAATTAATCTTCATTTTATGATAAGACAGTTAATATACAACTAAATTAAAGCTAAAAGTTTAATAATTCAAATATTAAAATTATACAATACTCTTTTTGATAATATTCTCTTTTTATTTTTTAGTTAAATAAGTAGAAGTTATTTTACAGCCAAGTAATATGGGCTTTCAAGAAATTAGTTTCAAGATTTTTATATTGAGTAATATACCATTTTATGTCTTTATCAACGGCAAATTTACCCATAATTGGTAGCAAGATTATTTTTATGAACCAGTTCTTTAATAACAAATATGTTGTTGTATGACAGACTGGTCCTGCACATATAACACAGATCTAAACATTTTTATATATTTTTTAAAGCTGTTTAATTATATAGATGATAACAACGGCATATGCTGGTAAATTATGTAGCAATTATACTCACTCCTTCTAGTAATGGGTCGTTGAGATGGGGTGGTGTGTAGTTTGGTAAAGAGGCAAGCCTTGTGCTGGGCACAGGTGGTAATGGTAGAAAGTTCAGCACAGAGTGTGCTGATAGCCCACAATCCAGCATAATTAACAGTTCCCGGAATGACAGAACAAAGCATGGCTTTGACGCGTCACTACTTAGGCAGTACTGAAATAGAGTTAGAAAAGTAGTGTTTATTGCTTATTCAAAGTTAGACTAAAATTTTTATGCAATCTTAAAATGATATATTAGAACGTTATAATTGTACTTTTAGATGTAATATGGCAGACTTAATATGGCTTATTTTGCGCTTTTATTGGACAATAATAGATATAGAATTATAATGATCGTATTACTTTTATTGACTAAGATATGAACTTATTTAATTTTAAATTAAAAAAATATGATTTTACCAGCTTCATTTCAGCTTTATAACCTAAATTGTTTTAATGTAGTAAATGTTAGCATTTAAAGTTATATTTTATAGAGACTATCAGTAAGATTTCAACATTATTAGGCATATATTTAATATAGAATTATTTTGATTTGCTAAAAGAACCACCACAACAAAACAGCAAGCCGCAAAAATCCAGTTTGACATTGACAGATTGTTTTAGTTGTTTTTTTATAACATTACAAAGGGATCTAGTCCATACAACTTTGTTTCTGATAATATATATATATATTTGATTTACTAAAACATTCAACTTTGCAATGCTTTTTTGGGTCAATCAAAGATGTCGAAATACAAAGAAGACCACGCACGCTAAATTGATGAAGGTTTTCTTTTTTACAAACTTTCATTCATTTAACATATCGTGTCAGTGTGTCAAATTTTGCAAGTTAAAGGAGACAGCCCAAAACAGACTACTCCAGAGTATTTTCATGTTCGAATATGTAAAACACGTAAGAGACTAAATGAGATTAAAAAAACAAAACGTACACATACTTAATTTTTTTAAGTAAAAAATAGAAATAGCCTATCTAGTGGGGTTTCAGAACACGATTACAAATAATACACAAATAATTTCATAGAAATAATGGAACACGGAATAGTTTCATGTTTGAAAATGAAAAACACACGAGTGAGTTAAACTTAATAACACCATAGTATGGTGTAATAATGTGTTTTAAAACAGAAATTAAAAACTTTAGTGGATTTAAGAATAAATAAAATCAGAATGTGTTTTAAAAGTGATGTTATTTCGCGAGAGAATGTAAACATTAAAGTAAAAAAATATCAATATTAATTTAATGAACTAATACGGTGCTTGGTTTGTAAACAAGAAAAATGTAATATAAACATTGACTTTTTCTAAAGATTTGTTTGAACAAAACGCATACATACATACATATACTGGAAAAAATAGTTATATCGTGTATCGTGATAAAATATGTTGAAATTTAAAAATGCCACTAGTTTTAGAAGTAAATGTTATTTATTTTTATTGTCTAATAAAACAGTGATAGAGAAATTCAAATATCATAGCGACGCATCAATTTTTACATGTGGAGAAAACTTATAGAGGTGTGTGAATCTACAACTTTTTCTGGGTGTGGTAGGTACACAAAATCATCGAAAATTAAGTTTATCAAAAATATGAAGTTATACATAGCGAAAATATTTATATGCTTATTCTAGCATAATTTTAAATACACTTTTTATTGTTCGAAAATAGTTCGAATCTAAAAAGACCGCGTTCAAGTTTTAAATCCCTTTTCCTTTTATAGGCTTTACAGCGTACCAAAAAATTTACCGATATTAATATGAATGTCACGGTAACATATTGCAGCATGTAAGTATTTGTGAAATAAAAAATCCAAACCTTGTCGTATCAAAAAAAAAAACAGGGTAAGTTATTGAAATGAGGATCTTGTATTACATCAACACACAAATAATTCGCTTTTAAACTAGGTGCTGATTGTTGAAGTAGACAAAAATTCGAATGAAGTAACAGTCAATTGCTGGTTAGGTATAATAGTATTCAAATTCTTATTTGTTTGGTAAAAATATATGTTTAAGTTATGACAATATTATCAAGTAATTACTTCTCTCAACTTTGTTAGACTTTCATTTGGATAAAGGCAGCATTGAATCCACACTGTCATTCAGACTTTCAAATTTCCGTCTGAGATAACCATCCATCCAGATCTGAGATAATATACAATTTTCTTTAATGATAAGTCATTGAAGGAAATACTATATAATCTCGAAATCATGGACTCCGGCATGTTAATGGCGACAACATCAAGCTAGCAGGCCAATTCTGGTAATGTTTATGTAATAATCGCATCTCAATGGAACTTTAACTACTTGCATTTAAAATTCTTATTATTAGATCATATATATAACGTGTTATGTGTTTTGTGTGTTGTGTATATATATGACCAGGTGTTTAACATTACTATCATTCCTGGTAACTAAATTAAGTATTATTAAGTTAGATTTCGCTCTTGAGAAGATAGCTAGGTGTACCTTTATAATGTATTGAGGTGTGATCGTGGGTGTATTATATATAGTATTATTATTTTTTATGCATATGTAAGTGTATATTATGAAATTATGTGTATGGAATTGTATGTTTTATAACTGGATACTACATGATTATCGCTGTTTATGATATATTTTTTATTTTGATTTAGCCCAAGCAGGGCGTCACCACACCACCTAAGGGAGTCAACTGAAAAGCGACGCTGCAGTTAACTGCAGCACATGTCGAGTTGGCACCTTTTGGACACCACATCGGATCTGTGGGATGCACTCTATAATATAATATTAATGTATATTGCAAAAATGCATGTGTGTATGTTCAATAAATGATTTCTATTCTATTCTAAAGTAACTACAGTATTAAGATTTTATTGACAATTAATTGTATTTGTTATCCTTCGAATCTGTTTATACTAGAGAACTTTATTATGTTTTTTCGTTACTAAGTAATTACGAAGTGAAGTTCGATGTGCCTTCTCGGCTCTACAATTTGCTAGCTTCACAAAAATGTCCCCAAGGATCAAATTAAAAGAAGTCTGAGAGGCAAAGCTGATTTTGCATTGTGAATTAAGGTAAGGGTGATTATCTCGCTAACCCACTAAAATTGTAATCTTATTTAAAAACTCGTTCTTCCGTAAAAAGTAGAGAGTGTACAATACGAACAGGTACAGACGATATTATGTCAGTTTTATTTTAAAATAGATCCTATAGTCTATGGTGATATATGCGACCTCCGTTTTGATTTTCATTTTTCTTACTGTCAAAATGTGTGAATCCAATGAAGAATTCGATATATTTTAAAATTTTATTATAAAAAAGGTAAAAATGCAACGCAAGCTGCGATTTTTATGACGTTTATGGACCTAGAGCAGTTTCTGTGAGAATAGTATAAAGGTTTAAGCGTTTTCGGAGTGAAAACACTTAAACCGGAGTAAAAACGCTTAAGCCTTTATGCTACTTACACAGGCACGTCACGGATAATATGGATTTATGAAAAAGCGGAGCAATATCAGTAGCTACGACGTAGCTGAAGAATTGGGGATTGACCTCAAAACAGTTTTAGCGCATTTGAAAAAAGCGGGGTTGAAAAAAAAACAGTTGGATGTTTGGGTACCTCACGAACTCACAGAAAGAAACTGAATGAACCGTATACCTACTCATTTGTAATTCTTTATTACGGCATAATGAAACTAAACCATTTTTTAAGAAGCCGATAACTGGTTATGAAATGTGGATCACGTACGACAAGAACGTGCGAAAATAGGTTGAGGTCAAAGGTCATTGAGGCTTTACAGACTGTGGTGAATTCCGGGTTAACTCGCTACAAGTTGATGGTGCGTCTATGGTGGGATTGGAAGGCCATTAACATTATGAGCTGTTACTGTTAGGCAGGATCATCGATTCTGAACTCTACTTCGAACAACCGATGAGATTAAAGCAGAAAGTTGAGGGAAAACGGCTAGAATTAATCAATAGAAGGAGTGTGGTTTTTCATCGCTAGATAACCCTAGACCTCACACATCTCACAAAACACAATGGATACGCCATATAGTCCTGATCTTGCACCTTGAGATTTCCATCTGTTTCGGTCTCTTCAGAATTCTTTGAGTAGTGTCAGGTTACCATTACGCGAGGACTGCCAAAACCACTTGTCGCGGTTTTTTTGATCAGAAGCCCCAAAATTTCTATAGCAATGGAATCATGTCCCTACCTACAAGATGGCAAAAAGTTATCGCACAAAACGTTACCTATATTCTTTAGTTAAATGTAAATAAACTTTATTAAAAAATGTTTTGAATTTTCATACAAAATGCGATGAAACCTTTTCCCCAACTTATTAGTATTCTCTTTTTAATTTTGACGTTGAGCTCAACAATGGCGACGAGGCGCGGCGGGAGAAATTATTTATTTATATTTTTTGTATGGTTTCCCTTAATCAAAGGTTTCCCATTTTTTATTTCAGATAAATAGACTTATTATTTCACCTTAGGAATACGAAATATATCTCATCTTCAGATATTTGAGTAGATAAAATTCAGCATATACAAAAGAAAACTATTTTTTTTTCACTTATCTTTCATCGGGGTGCTGTCGATCATAGGACCGATCGACGTTCGATATTTATAGAGGCCTAAGAAAATTAAACCAACTCTCAGGGGGAGGCTTATGCTCAGCAGTGGGCGTCTTACATCTGTTGATGATGATCAAGGTGGATGATGATGTTGTTGAATTTACTATTAAGTATCTTGACTCAAATAAAAATGATAACACCTTAATTTATCGGAGAACGTCTTTTATCGATTCATATATGTAGAGGTTTTAAAATTGGTAAGCATTGATAAGTGTAAGATCGGCAAAGAATTTCTTGTTTTTCAAAATTTAAGTTATGTTAGCCAAGGAGTTGAATTTCTCAATGTGTTAAACATTTATTTTTTTTATTCAAATATTTTCAATGATTTATGCGTCTATGGAATACCATGAACTCATTATTGGTACATTACACATCATTATTGATACGACATCTAAGATGTCGCCCTTCTGCATAATATCAATATTTATTGCTTACAAACTTGGTTATGATAAGATTACCATTTTTTTATTATTAGATAAAAATAGTCATTGTAATTTCAAGAAAGAATTTGGAGTAGCTTTAAAGTTTTAGCTTGCTAATGGATTTATGATTTGTTTTGGAATAAAAGACAAGTATTACAAAAAATAGCCTTTGGAATGTTTTAGTTACTGCTAACTATAAGTTTCAATTTTATAATATAGGTAGGTGCCTAATTATTTTATGCACCTACTGTTCATTATTCGTTTCAACTACACAGTTATTGTTCCTTTAACAGTATTAACTAAAATAAATTTGTTTAGTCATGATGATTTGAGTTAATGACACAGAGACAGATTGGCAGATAATAAAGTATCAGAAACGTGAATTGTGTGACCTCTCACTCGCTCTTCCTAACAAAACCGCTGGTTAACATTCGCGTTCGGGCCTTCGAGTTGTGCGTACGCGTCGCTCTCGCTGTTCGCTAATAACAAACATGGCTGCAGAAGTTAAGAAATTCACCAGAAAGGAGATAGCGGAGACCGGCAAGCCTGCGACTCGTTTCATCATTCACAATTATGTATACGACGTATCCAAATTTTTGGACGAACATCCCGGAGGACACGAAGTACTAGTCGATGTCGCCGGCAAGGACGCGTCCGAGAATTTCGACGACATCGGTCACAGTATTGACGCTAAGGAGTTAATGAAAAAATACCGCATCGGTGAGTTAGTCGACGAGGACAAGAATAAAGAACATGATGCAGGAAATGTAAAGTGGACAGCGCCGTCTTCTGCGTCAGAAGAGGAGAATAGTTTCATGAGTTCTTGGAAGTTCCCAGTTGTGTTGGGTATTCTGGCTACGGTTCTCTATACGTACTTGTTCGGGTAATGGGACTATTATACGCAAGTCGTATTGTAACAATCTGCGCACTGTTTTCAAATTAGTGCTGGACTTCTTGTGTTCACTGATTTGTATTGTAAATGAGCGGGTGTCTATGCATAATCATTAAGGTTTTTTATTATATTTTGTGATATTTAATTACACGTTATTTTTTATGTGACTGTTTTTTTTAAATCTGATTAACATGTGGGCGGCCTGTTTCGTGGCTTTTGTGCATAGTGTGCGTGACCCGTTGGTTCTTCCTAATAAGACCGTGACGTTATTCATTGAAACAATAACTGGTTGCTAACTATTATTTATCGCTGAATAAGTTTCTAATTAAAGATTATTGGTTGATCGTTAAGATATCAGTATTATTTAACGATATTACATATTATTTGGTATGCTGCTATGAACTTGTAATTTTGATTTAAAATATTTTATTATTTAGTGTAGGCATGTCCTTATCTTATCCTCATTCTGAAAGTAGATAACGTTAAGTACAAGATAACTTTAATGCTCACGAGCAAATTATATGGTCTGAGTATAATGTTTAACTAATATTTCATAAATGTTCTAGAATCGAGTGTCGTGATTTTATAATTTTCAATATACTTGTTTTGTTACGCAACGAATAAAAATTGTGTCAGCGGAATGATACAAACGAGTAATATCAAATACAAGTTTAGTCGATTGCTGCCGGTTATTCACATGTTTTAAATTTTCTGTTAAGTATTTTTTGACGATGTTACACGCGACGCAATATAGAGTTGTGTAGTTACTAATTAGTAGAGTTATCCACTAGAATTAATATAAGAAATATATAATTGTCTATTTGTTTGCATTGAAGAGACTCCTATACTGCTAGACTGGATTTTAAAAATTAATTTACCTACGGGAATCTGCACTACTGCCGTTACGATAAGTTGACATTTTAGGCAAACGTATTTAATGCCCTTCGACCTCCGCTTACGTTTCCATATAAATATGCAAACAAATACCTACACATAGAGAGGAAATACGCCGTAAGACTTGCTCGCTTGATTTCACGCATTTTTTTAAATATAAAAAACCATTGTTTAGAGTCGGTCATCTTTGCGATTTTTTCTATCATGACAATTATTGTTTATTTTCTGTTCTTTTTTTTTGCAAACAATCTATCATATATTTAATTTTCATAAAATAAGTTTTATTTAGCTAATGTAAGTATTAGAACAAAATTGGTTTAAAAAGTGGTAATTTCGCCTTAAGTACATATTCATGATCAGAAAAATGAGCTCTATATATTTTCTTCTTAGAACTTATTTGTAACAATAGTAAATTGATAATTTAGATAGAATATATTATTTTGATTGTCAAAGCTATAAACCAAAAATTAAATTATATTCTTAATGTAAAATGCTTAAAGTATCCACTTTGTCCCTGGCACTCTGAGATGGGACTCGAACCCATGACCTTTGATCAGGCGACTACTCTAACCACTGAGCTACCCAGGACCTAACAGGACTAACGAATCTTTCAAGCACTTGTTACTTTTTCGCTACTACACAGCGTATTTTCATCAATGTTTAGGCAATCCACCCAAACAGCCGTAAGAATTGTTTTTACGAATATTTAAACTTTCGATAAAGATGAAAATTTGTATTATATTTTATTAATTTTGTATTCACAATTCTATACTGAAATATATTCTCAATTAATCTTAAAACGAATGCTGAAAAAAATTCACTTTGTCCTTATCACTCTGGCAAAAATTAAATCATTAATTGCGAGTAATACTAAAGTAGCCAAACCGAATTATTAGTACAATAATTCGGTTTGGATTCTTTAGAGCTTCGTATAAATGGCAGTCCATCCGTGTGACGTAAGCTATAATTTACGCGCGAACGGTGTAAAAAACTTTTCATTTAGTAACTACGTCAATGACAAGGTTATCAACTTTTTTTTGTGTTTCTGGAAAATATAATTTTGACTTTTTAATTAGTGTTGATTAACAGTGTTGAGAAATGCTATTTCGAATATATACTTATAGGTATTTTTTCATATAAAGTCACATTAGTTGTGATTGAAGAGTTCTTTTAAAACGGGGTTGTAGTAATAAGTCAGCGAAGAAAGAGGAGTGCAGTCCGATAAGTAATAAAAAAATGACAATAATATATAACGTTGACAGAAGGAAAACTGCTAGGTAGGCTTTTTAAACAAGTAAAATTCGATCAGTGTATCTGAAGAAGTATTGAAAAAGGAAATTAAAATTGAAAAAAAAACTGATACTAAGCAGGAAAGCTTTTTGAAAATACGCGAGGTTATCACTCCACGTTTCTCTTATGATCTTCATAAGGATTGCTTAGGGCATCAAGTAGCTTTAGTCCGGCTCTGTAAATGGCTCACACCTTCGAAAACGTTTCATATCATATGTAGAGCAAAGCTTTTCACTCTACATGCTATTACTTTGCAAGTTTTAACATTACAAACTATATTAATCAAAATATGTGGCTCACAATCACTTTGAAAGAGTTATTTTTAGTGCAGATTACGGAGACCGACACGTGGCTCCGATATGGATTTTAGTATTTTCCTTTATAATCTTATTAAATTTAATTTTATATGATAAAATATCAGTTATAAATATGGTGATGAAATATGAGTGTTACGTACCTGAGTAGCTGATGCAATTTTATGCAATATGGTATTTAATAACCATAAATTAAGAATAAAAAGGGCGCATGCACCCCAAGATCACTATTAATAGTTTACTGTTAATTTTCCCCGCGCAATTTTAAATCTAAATGTATTGATATTGATAGTAGAGTTCAAAATCCATTGTGGAAATTTGACGTGTGTGAGGTGAATCTGACGTGCAGCCTTGTACAAAGTCCAAACAATGTACTCTTAAATATAAAAAAAAAACTTATCCATATTTCTTGTCTTAATTTAAATCTTTGTACAGGAAAAAATAAATAAATATATGAGTCATTTGGTATCCGAAGGAATAAGCGGTACTTATATGGTAATTGTATGTATTTAATAGTTTGCAATAATTCAGACCATTTTTGCTGCGCAATTCTTAGATAGGTTAAAAAGTCTCGTCTATCTGGACAGGGATAGTGTTTTCACTTTTGGGTTTACGCAACCTCTTAGATACATAATTATTGACCAATAATAAAGGTTTTCAATCGGGAGAGGTATCTAATTTCATATTAATATTTAATAAAATATTAAAATGAGATACATTATCGTAGTTAAGTATTGCAGGGTTAACAACAGGTTTCTGAATTGAGTATTTAATGTTAAGAACCTCTCAAACTGTACTTAAACGTCATTTATACAGGTTTTCGTTTCTGATTTTAGTTTTTTTAATGATCAGTTGATTGCAGTTTGATAAAAACTAGAACTTTTTGCCTTGTGAAAAGTAAAAAACATAAGTTATTGAGAATAATCAGTTGAGATTTTGTACTTTTCTGAATTAAGAAACCGGTCGTAAGCCTGCTCGATACCCTAAACATTCCTCATTTCATATATTATGCCCTCTTTATCGTCTGTATAATATCGATGTTTCAAAAATACGTATTTAACACAAAGAGACAGATCATTAGGTATCTTTAAGAACATGTATAAAGGTCAAAGGAGATTCGTATAAGTACAAAAGTAACGGATTTTCAAATTGTGAAATACATACACTACATTACTTTTGTGTTATATAGTAAATACATTTTTGGTTTTATTTCTGATCCCAAAACATGACGCCCCAAGCAATTGTTTATTAACTACTCCGGCACTGTAGTTAAGATTGTTATTAGTGAAAGAAATGGTTCGCGAAACTACATTATTATTCAATCCCTATTAATTGAGTATTTAGTGGGAGTGATTATAAATAACTGATTTCTCTGTTTATATTATTGAGACACAATTGTCATCATTACATGCAAAACTACAATGTAATAAACGATGATTGCTATGCATGGGTTACACTAAACTGGAAATAAAATGCTTGACAAACATGACGAAGCGTTTTGGAAATTGCAGCATTATTCATACAAGGGCAATCTAAATTTGCGTGACTTCTCGTATTCTATATCCACACATTTACTAAAACCAGAACGAGCGCAGCAAGCTACATATATTAAATGTTATTTCAAAGAAGACATTTCGTTTCGTTACATCTAAACTTTATAAGGAAAATGAGTTACTCATGGTTGGACACCATAGGAAAATAACATTGTATCGCACAACAATATATAACTATGCTACTGTATATCAAGGGCTGGGCGCAGTCAATAGTAGGAGAGCTGGTAAACTTATTTCGGTAGAGCCGCCGCTGCTGCAGAAACCCTCAAACGGCGGAAATATTCAAGTATAAGAAATACCTATAAATTTGGGGTGGTTGGGGTCGAATAAAACTTCCAGTATCTATCAAGGCATTAGTTCGAGTGTTATTTACAGTGATAGGACTGTTTCTTAATAAAGACACGATGGAGAAGCAGCAGAAAAGTTGTACTAACCATCTTAGGTAAAATAGCTGCAGAATTTATGTAATTAGTGTTTCCACTACCATAGAGAAAATTTCCACTACCACAACCATATTGAAAAACATTGGCAAAAGGGCCTTTTTCTTACACAGTTGACACATGGCGCTAAATGCTGGGCATTTTATTCACTGAAGTAGATTTCCACCACAAAAGTGAGAGCGTTTACAGTTTAAAGCAAAGCAAAGTAAGAGTTATGTTTCTAAAGATAAAGTTTGGTTTAATGTTTCATCTAAGGTTATCGTTAAAATTTCTGGTATCCTTTCCCTAATTGTTTGAGATGATATTCCTGCTATAAATGCTACTCTAATAGACAGGCCCTCAAGTTCTTCAGTAGTCACATTTTTAAAATACCAGTCTCGAACAAGAGTTTTTAAGGATCACCCGTATTCAGTAATATTTTCCAAAGGATTTTGAATTCCGTTTTTCATTTAAGTGTACTGCTTATTGAGACTTTCTATAGCGTCCTTAAAGTTATCGCTATCGGGTATATAGGAGAAGACATTCGGTGACAAATGATTGACAAGGAGTTTTAGTTTAAAATTATATTTTAGTTTAAAATAGCCTTATGCCCGAATACTATATAAACTGTCAAATAGGCATATCAATTTACGAACAACTTAAAGACGTTATATTTTTATTGTCGTGCTTAGCGAAGAAATTCTATTTATTTTTTGTATAAAAATACAAAACAAAATTATTGATTATAGTGTCTCAGATATTATATTCCTATGTAATTTCGAAAGTCACTTTACTTAAAGCTACGAAACGTTATTACCAATTCAATATTGAGTGGATGCCGCTTTTCTAAAGTGAATTCGGGACACCTGGGGGCCATTTTGTTTGAATCGAATCGAAAACGGATCGAAACCGAACGAAACTACAGTTTTTAATGGTTTTCCTATTCTACAAAGTGACATACGATACCATTCCAGTTCTATTTTAGCTGGAATTGTATCGTATGTCACTTAGTAGAATAGAAAAACCATTAAAAACTGTAATTTCGTTCGGTTTCGATCTGTTTTCGATTCGATTTAAACAAAATTTATTTAGTAGAATTGGCCCCCAGCGTGAGTTCGAATTCGGGTTTGGATTTCTATAGATATGAAGGGCTGATTTGCAACTGTCATCCATGCTGGCAACGAGCAAATAGACTACAAGTTTCAACTAATGTACCAACTTACACAAACCTTGTAATATCATACAAGAGCACCCGATTCACAAATTATGTTTTTGTTTCGGATTGTGACTGATCACAGAGTATGACAGTTTCCTTTGGCTAAAAATTGATTGTTGGTTTTAATTTGTTTGAAACAAACAAATTGTTTCAAAATGATTTAAAATAATTAGAAACAGAATATTGACTTATTTTACTTGATATTCCTTTAAACATGTGATGTAATATCCCTTTTTATATTATAATCTTAAAATAAAAAACACAGCAAATATTCATATTAATATAATGATAAATATAGTTAAGATGAATTTCCTGAACATTAATCACTATTAATTATTGAAATTTGCTTAAATTCATTAATCTTGCAATGTATTTGGTAGTTTAATTGGTTAGAGCGGACGTTTGGAGTGCGAAAGGTTGTAGGTTCGAATCCCACCTCAAGCACCTAGGATTGGTGATTTTTTAAACAATTTCTTTTAAGATAAAATATAAATTGTAAATGTAAAATTGATCAAATATAATAATGGTAAATAAAATATTTTGTAAGCATTAACTTTTTCAGTGACATTTTTATTAGAATTCTATGGGGCCATCCATAAATTACGTCACACGTTAGGAGGGCGGGGGTGGGGGGGTTAGTAGAATTTGTATAGACAAACAGGTGACATGAGGGGGGGGGGGGGGGTTTAAAAATCATGAATGTTGTGTGACGTAATTTATGAACGGCCCCTATACATGCTTTTTTATACACATTATTAAATTTTCCCGTGAAAACACTAAGTAGTTTACTTCACTTAGATAAAAAGTAATAAAAAAAATCAAGCTTTTTATAATCCCAGATAATGTTCACCCAAAACCAAAGTACCCGTACAAACTGAACAATTACCTTTTTGATAACGATTTAAGGAATCATGTAACTTTTGAAGTCGCTTTGGGAACAATTCATGATTTTAATGATTAAGAAACAATAAAAAATCCGTCATATTTAGCATTCAATTCTTTTTGTTTGACATTTTTCAGTTGCTTGCACGCATTTATCGCTTTGCATAGACAATTCTAATTATTACGATACCGTTTATTTAATATCTTCAATATTCGATAATTCAAAAGACGTGGCTATCTCAATTACATGTCAAATACTTGTAGCGTGAAGTTTGTGAATATCTTCCAAATGACAAATCGAAAAAGATTGCTATAGATTTTAAAATTAGAGGATTTTATTATGACATTAGGTAAAAGAAGACAAAAATAGTTTATATTATTATTTGTCGATAATTGTTTGATCTTGTAGATCCATTACCAAAAATCCTCAATTAAAATTATGCAGATATTTCGTTTTTAACTATAACAAATATAATTATGTACATTGCTCAATTTATTAGCTAATTCGGTGCTGTAGTTTAAATTTTATTAATTTAATGAAATGGTTCATGAAGAAGATTGGAGTGATTCAGTTGATGAGACCTAATTACTTGAGAAAATTTCATAACTTAACTTAGCTTTTGGTTAAAAATATACCAATAGACGAGAATTTAAATGAAGTAAATACTGTTAATAGCTGAATACTATTTATATCGTAATAGTATTCAAACTATTAATAGTTCTTACACATACAAATTATTATTTATTTGCTAAAAACATCTGACATATACTCAAGTGATTACTTTTCTCGACTATAGATTCTAATATATAAGTGATTGTAAATAACTGATTTCTCTATTTGTATTACTGAGGCACAACTGCGTCGTCATCATTACATGCAAATCCGCAATGTAAGAAGTGTAATGTCATTGCGTGGATAACAAAAGACTGGAAACAAATGCCAGATATACATAACCAAGCACTTTTGAAATTGAATGAATGAATGAATGAAATAGTCTTCATTGTACACATCATAAGTAAATTGACAAAACATAATAATGTAACAGACAGTATAATTAGCGGCCGTATTGCTAAAAGCATTTCAGCATAATACATTCAAGGGTAATACGACTTTGTAGATAATATTTTATATCATACATATTTTATATACATCTGTGATAATGTAGAGGTTCGAGCTAAGAGATTACAAAAACGCTCGGTGGCGTAGTGGATAAGCGCCGCGGCATGCGATCGTTGTCGTTAAGCAACTTTCGCAAGGGTCGGTCACGGGATGGGTGACCAAAAAATTATTATCTCGAGCTACTCCGTGCTTCGGAAGGCACTTTAAGGTATTGGTCCTGGCTGCATTTGTAGTCGTTAATACCCGCCAATCCGCATTGAGCCAGCGTGGATGGTCATGGCCCATGCTCCTTAACCATCCATAAGGAAGGTCTGAGCCCCTGCAATGGAGACTAAATAAAGGGCTGATGATGATGATTACAAAGAAGCCTATAGTAATATTACGCCAATTCAATTTACAACTGCAAGAATAAGTAAATAAATATTAGACAACATAACATTGATTGCTCAGAACTTAAATCAAGTTGCTTTAGCACTTGCATTATGGAAATCCAAAACAACGACGGTGTCACAGAATCCAGACCAAAGACAATCGAAATTGCCGTTCTACTTGGTTTAGGCTACTTTTGATTTAGGTATTTAACAATCAAAATATTATACCATCTTCTGTCAATACAAAACAATCTAAAAAGAAAATATAGAGTTCATTCAAAATGTATTTAAGTTTGGTAAGGATGGCAAAAAAGTTGTTCCTATATTGACTCAACCGGGAAACAATCTCGGCGTGCGAGTCACTCAGCAACGAAGGGTGTACTCGTTATTTATCTTTTTGATTTATTCTAGAAATGTCCACTGATAAGACCTCACCAAGTTGCTACTTTTTGTGTGTAGCTTTGGTAAAAAGTGATAAGTATTTGTTTTATTTTAACTAAAGAATACAGGGTCAATATCGCTTCAATACCATTATATAATTTCAATAAACAAATAATATAAAAAACGCAAGCTTACACAATACTACTCAGTTTATATAAATTTAATCAACGTTGAAATCACAATACTGTATAATATTTTGCTTTACGATCAATACTACTTGCTTTAGGAATTACCAAAATCTCTTGCTGCTGTGATGAAAATTTGTATTTTAAGCTAAAGTCTTGAAGATGTTGTTATTTAAAATATGATTTCAATCTCCATTTCAATCATTGAAATTGTCTCTATGATGATAGACCAAGGTCTATGTAATAAGGCACTTGTCTAAAATTAGACGTTACAATCTTAGCTCAGGCGTAGTTCGAATGAGGCGACCCAATAGGGCTTCGGTTTCAAAATTATACGCGTCAAATTTATAAATCTTCAAAAATTAAAAAAATATATATATGAAAACAGCTAATTTGGTGAGAATTCCCTCCAGTGACCATATTAAAACTATCATGAGTTAAGGTATAGTCACGCGACCCTCTCTAAAATTTCAGGCTACGACTGTGCTTGTGTTAGCTAGTGTATGAACTAGTACTAGCCGTTACAGGGGGTATCTATGATAATATCATAATAGTGGGCTAATTGTATATTTGAATATCTGTCGCTATCCCTTTCAAGAGTTTAAAAATTGTGATAACGATTTATGTAACTTTAAAGTCGCGGTCGCTTTTGGAACGAATGAGGAAAATTTGAAAATTGAAATTTTGAAAACTTAGTGAAACTTGTCGAAAGATTGCAGTAAGTTTTCCACTCTTTCAAAAAATGAGAAATGATAAATTTCTCATTTTTTTGCTTTGCTTAGAAAATTCTAATTAACGTAAAATTAACGATATTTTAATATTCAACAGGATAGCAATCTCTATCACATGTTAAAAATTTGTAGCGTGAAGTTCGTGAATATCTTTTAAACGTCAAATTGAAAGGGATTGCAATTTAGCCCCTGAGCAACGTCTGTGATGGTGTCTTATATTTATGTTATGTAATAATTTGTAAACAACATGCATCTTTATAAAATATTGACACTAGTTAGTAGAAAGGAACTAATTATGGAATAGTATCCCTAAAGCGGAATACTAAAAGTATTTACTATTTTTTAGAAATAGTACAAAGTGTATTTAGGAATTTACTATTTACACTCTATTTAGAAATAATTTAGGAAGTAATCCCAAAATTCCATATTAGGGATAATATTCCATATTTGTTTACTTTTATCTTTATAAACGTTCTATGCACAGTAAATAAAGAAATATTAAGAATAATCTTGAAATATATGAAATTAAATTAACTTAAGGATTGATTTAACTTCGACGCGATAAATATGGCGTAGTTTTATAATATTTTTAAAAGGATTCATCATCAGCCCTGTTACGTCCCCACTGCTGGAGTTCAGGCCTTCAGGGAGAGCCATCATCCTCCACACTGGCCCAATGCGAATTGTAGGGTACTAACGACTACAAATGCAGCGGCTCGAGATAACAATTTTCGGTCACCGACCACCAACTTGCGAAAGTTGTTTAATAGCAACGTTCGCGGGACGCGGCGCTTATGCACTACGCCACCGAGCCCCTCTACTACGCCTACGTGAATTACCTAAGTAAATATATTAATGAGGAAGTATTTTAAAAAAAAACGAAAGCATTAAAAAAGCACCTTCCCTAGATGGCGACTCTAGCAAAAGTTGATTTTTGCAGGAAACGAATTGACCAAAGACAATTATTTCCTTTTAACTAACACATGAAAAGATTGAAATTTGAAAAGTTCGAAACTTAGATATCAATACAAATACGAAAAAATAGAAACAAAATATGAGTTGTTTATTGAGTTTTGAAAACTAATATACTTTTAAACTTGAAAAAAGAAACCGGAAAGGTTGTCATGGAGAAATCAAGAACGTACTGTAGCGACATCTAGTTTCATTTCGGAAACTAAAGATTTATTTAAATGCTTCCTCATTAAGTTTGCGTTGCCAACGTTTTGCGTCGTTTTTACATGCTTACATGATATGTAGATATAATAGATTGTTAAAAAAATGCTAATCTACTCGTGTCCAATTGTACTTTGAACTCATAATGTAACATTAACGTTTGTCAGCATTAATAATATTTCAGGTTTTTATGTGTATCATTGCTAAATATAAAGAAACTTGTATTGCTTTATTAGACAATTTATACAATTATAAGAATTTATTTAAAAATTATCATATTATTTTTAAATATTCATTTTGAATTCGTCGGCAAAACGACCATGCTTTATTATGTCCTTATTATGACGTAATCCTTTGATTTTAACTCCACCGTGCGGTTTAATAGGAATATTAAATTACATTCTATTGTTTTTGTTCTAATTTTTTTGCACCTTCGTTTACGTTCCCATACAAGTAAGCATCGAGAGTAAGGACGCGCCTACTTGGTTTCATAGATTTTTAGCCACAAAAAAAAAAACAAATGCAGTTACAAAATTTTAGATAATTTTAGATTGTATGAGAACTTATTTTTTATATAGTTAATATGAAATATATTAGTCGTAAAATTAATCCAAAAATCCTATTTAGATTCATCTTTGCGATTTTTTTCTGTAGAGCCAATTATTGAAATATACGAGTATATTACTGTTTTTTTTTTGCGAATAATCTACCATTTATTTGATGTCTATAAAATGATTTTTATTTGGCAAATAATAGCATAGCCTTAGAATAAAATTGCATTAAAAGTGGTAACTCCGTAAGATCTCGCCTTAAGGAGTTTACAATAAAATTTTAAATTAAAAAACATGTTATAACGTTAACTCACGAGTTTTGAAAATGACAGCCATTACATTGATTTTTATTTGAACTCATGCGACACGCAGTTCAAAATAGGTGATTGTATTTTGCAAAAAATATCGTAATTTAAAGCAAATCAAAATTAAGTTTATATTACTAATTCAGGGATAATAAATAATTGATTTTTAATCTATACATATTATAATGGGAAGTCGTTTCCCTTTGTCTGTACGCTGCGTTTTTTAAACTTCAACATACAGAGTGATTCGAGAGGAATGTTAATGTGTATAATACAGGAATACGCGGTCGAAGCCGCCAGCAGAAAGCTAGTTTAATATAAGTTAAATAGTTTATATTGATCATTAATGACAGTTCTCATACATTATGTAAAGAATAAATGCAGTCGAGATGCATTCTTTACGTAGAATTTACTGGATAAAGCTCGCAGATCGAATGTGTAATGAAGAGATACGAAAGAAATATACCTGAAATATAGTGTCGGCTTAAAAGTAAACAGAGGCATGCTAGTTTATTAGACGTGAAGATAAAATTAAAAAAACAGCTTATCGGGTATTTTACCCGGTAGTCGGCAACACTGCAGAAATTTGTATAATCTGATGTGCTGTTGTGTGTACATACGATAAGTGGTGCG